TGGTTTGGCTTCCACGGAGGGAGTTGGAAGACTGTTCTAAGAAGCCCTCTGTCTGTTTCTGTGTTTTTTGTAAATTTGCTACTCTCTCCCCCCAGAGCAGGCAGAAGGTGGGGGAGGGGAGACACGTGGCGAAGCCACTCCTCAAGAAAGTTTTTATGCATCTCGAATTTCTGTGCTCATGTAAAGGGAAAAGGCCCGTTCAAAACGAGTGCGCATAGTTTTGGGCTGTACTTAAACTCTTTTCTGTGTACAGAATGAGCTTTCAAAATGGTGGAGATTTACTGGGAGATAAATTAAAACTGGTTTCCCAAGTCATTGTAAGCAGCTTTTGAAATTTCCTGCCCTGAGGCAGGAACTGGACAGGAATGCTGGGAGTCTTCAGCTAAAGAAAGTGTTCATTTGCATTTGAATGGCCCCCAGCCATCTTTCCCTTTGTCCAATCCCTCCCCCAGTGATCTGCAGGGAATGGCCAGATCTGTTGCTGAAACTTCTAAGTAAGCAGGATGTAAAAGAAGGAAAAAGACATAGGAAAGTAAAGTTTAGATTTGCCTCATCAAAAATCTAGAGAACAGAATTGAAGCTCTTAATTATTATGTCTTGTATTTTTCTTAGAAATGTAATGTTATTAATCTAAAAAAAAAAAAAGCCAAATATATTTGACTTGCCAGCTTTAAAAGTTCAAAGTATAAATTAAATTAGGAAGAGTTAATTGCAGTAACTAAATGCCTAGAATCTGGCAGGCTGAACTATATTACGTGTGTTAAAAATAAGCAGTAATGATCGAAGATCTCAAGGATTGATTTATTCTCATTTGTCAGATGAGAAAGTATGTGATGCTTACACTTAAAAAAATTATTTTAAGTCAGTGATGCAGTATTTTTTGAAGTCAGTTTTTCTGAAGTAATGTTTTAATGTAACATATGAAACTTTTATATTTGATCTGTTTTGTTTTGCTTTATATGCCATTGTTGTCATTTGTAATCACATTATAAGCTTGAATTTGGGCTTGTACCTGTGAGAAGGCAGGGCGGGGTGAGGATGAGCTCCCGACTCCGCCCCGCAGGGCGGAGTTATCCCTAGCCCTCACCCAACCAATCAGGGTTAGCCGAGGCAGTGACATCACCATCGACCAGAGTAAAAAAACCCCTAGACTGGAAGAAATTCTCTCTCTTCCGCCATGCTGCCGGCGTGAGTGGGGGGGCCCATGCTAGCATGGAAAAGGCTCTTTTGTTTATTGCATCGGACTCGACTCCCTGGTGGTCCTTGGGGATCACGAAGTCTGGGCGTAACACCTGCATCTTGTAATTTGTAAACTTTAGGGAGTCATTTTTAGTTTCAGTCATGTGTGTCTACTTTATAGATTTAAGTAGACTTCATCACAAAGGTTTATAATTTATTTAGAATTGTGCTAAAATAATGTGAAAATAATTATTTATATGATTTAACCCCCCGAGACTGCTTGGACAATTTTCACTGATGTTCTGCGGGGGAGAAGAGGGGAGCTTAGAAATGCAGATAAATCTGGATCAGTAGGAAAAATATGGCATTTTAAATTTCAAGCAGCTGAAGGCCTGGGAACAGGGTACTGGACCTCCTCCCTCCTCCCTTGCCTTTTCTTTAAAATTTGAGGCATGGTTATGTATTTTTGAATGATATTTAAAAAAGTTTAGAAATTAATTTGAAATTATAAAAGGCCAGCAACTAATAGGAAGGAATTAGTATGTTTATTGTAGAAAGCAGGGAGCCTCCTTGGATATCAAAGAAGGACTGTAGACCTCAGAAGGAACATGTACTGAGGGAACGCAGCTGCTGAACTGGAACAATGGGCCTTTGAGGAGCTAAAGAAGGCTCTCGTCTCAGCACCTGCCCTAGCCGTGCCAGACATCGCGAAGCCCGGCTTCCACCTCTACATGAGTGAGGTAAGGGGCATTACCAAAGGGATTTTCACTCAGACTCTAGGTCCCTAGAAGAGACTTATTGCCTATCTGTCTAAGAGACTGGACCCTGTGGCAGCAGGGTGGCCAGCGTGCCTCTGGGCAGTGGCCACCACAGCATTGCTGGTGAAGGAGGCAGATAAGCAGACTATGGGCCAAGCTTTTCTCCTGGACCAGCCCTGTGTCCAGATTCATAAGACTCTGGCCATCAACCCTGCCAGCCTGCTTCCAGATGATGATGGAGGAACCCATTCATGACTACACAGAGGTAACAGATGACAAGGTACTGTTCACAGATGGGAGCAATTACATTCAGGATGGGACCTGATATGCAGAGGCAGTAGTAGTCACCCTGGACCACACCATTTGGGCACAGTGCCTGAACTTTTGGCCTTAATCCAGGCCCATTGATGGAGACACTGTGCCATCCACAGAGAAGAGGGTTACCAACTGCAGCCGGAAGAAATCGGCTGAACAGAAGCAAGCCACTGAAGACCAGATGATTGGTGGACCCTCCAGATGACAAGACTGTTGGTCCCAGAGGCTCTAGGTCAGAGTTGCCCAGTGACACCAGGTTACCCACTTAAGTGTCACCAACACTTCTGAACTTCTGTGAGGCAGAGTTGCTAGAAGTACTGTCTGTGGACAGGCAAATGCTAAGCAAGGTAAGGGAGTCCCCCTGGGAATTTGGGTCCTAGGGAACTTCCCCAGGAGAGCATTGATAGATGGATTTCAGAAATTAAACCACTAGCAATAAGATCTAGTTTTTGTAGACACTTCAGATTAGGTTGAAGTATACCCCACTAGGATGGAAACTGCCTCTATAGTAATCAAGAGATTACTCCAGGAGATTATACCCAGATTCCGGCTGCCAGTATCAGATAACAGCCCCACCTTTGTAGCCAAGGTATCTCAAAGTATAGCTCTAGCCTTAGGACAGGTAAAGAGAGACTCTGGAAAAAGGGTTTAACTAAATGTGTCCTAGAATCCGTGAAAATTGGACCAACCCCCTGTCCTTTGCCCTCTTAAAGGCCAGATGTACCCCTTACTGGAACAAGTTTCCCCTTTTTTGAGGGGGGATCATGTATGGTAACCATTCCCTTGCTCAAGTACTTACAGGCTCTGCAGTTTGCTTGTTCCAGATGCACTGCCAGTGCCCACCGCAGATCCTGTAGCCCTGGAACTCAGTGTGGGTAAAGAAATTCACTGCCCAAGGATTCAAAGGGACGCTACACTGTTATCCTGAGCATGCCCACTGCTGTTGAAGTAGATGGCACCCAGACCTGACTACATGACTCCCAGCTCCTGCATGGCCTGGATCCTGGCAACTAGCGGCCTCACCTGTGAGATCCCCAGCCTGGGCTCCACACAGGCCAGGAGGAGAACTGATGCCTGCAGGAGGGGAACTGGACTTCAGTGAGGACAATACTGATGGGAACTGTGGTACTAAAGGTCTTGGTAACTGTATTTGTTGTTTATGCTTAAAGGAAGTAGGCTAAGTCAATGATTTGACTCATGCACATTAAACAAGGGGGGAATGAGAGGGCAGGGCGGGGCAAGGATAAACTCCTGACTCCACTGTGGGGCAGGGCGGAGTTATCCTCCATTTTGTAACTGGACCCTAGCCCTCACCCAACCAATCAGGATCAGCCAAAGCAGTGACATCACCACCGGAGTAAAACCCCAGGGCTTGGAGAAATTCGCTCTCTCTTCTGCCATGCTGCTGGCGTGAGTGGGACAGAGCCCATGCTAGCATAGAAGAGGCTCTTGTTTATTGCATCGGACTCTGCTCCCTGGTGGTCCTTGGGGATCATGAAGTCTGGGCGTAACAAGGCCACAAAGGGGAAGCCACAAGAGCCTCCAAATAATTCTAAAACGGATGAAGACCACTTCAAGCTTGCCTGAAAGATGGTGATCACCATGGTGCCAAGCGTGGCCTCCATTTTAGTCACCTGCCACAGCGTACACAAACCCTATTTATGAAAGGACGAGGGTAGTTGATTGTGCTGGTACCCACTTCTGGGTCCATTAAAATTCCAGAACAGTCCAATGACCATGCTCCCTACACACAGGCCACACAGAGCTGAGAGAAGACGGTCTGTAAAAGCTGTAGGGCTGTTTGCGATCACTTATTTCATTGTACTTTAAAAAGAAAAAACGTTGTGCGTTAAGATGAAAAACCTGGTTGTCATTATTCATAGAAATGGCAGGTGACAAATCCAAAATATTTTTAGACCTCTCTCATTTGACCTTCTGATGTCCTTCTGATAATACACTTTATACATATTCCGTAGTTTAGTTTGAACTCCCCCCCCCCCCAGCTGAAAGGCATGTCATTCACAATTTGTAACTCAAAATCGATTGTATCTAGAAGGGATCTCAAGCTGTGTGTGGATTCAGTCATCCGTGCTTAGAAGCACGGGCGGTGAAGGAGACAATATGCAGGCCACAGGTAGGAATAGCATCCTTTTTGTTTTTGCGGAAGATTATCCTCACCCAAGGGTATTTTCCCATTGGTTTTTAGGGCGGGGGAGAGGCACACAGAGAGAGGAACATGGAGAGACACGTGGATTGGTTGCCTTCTGCACACACTGACCAAAGGGGGTGGGGGATGGGATTGAGCCTGCAAACTAGGCACCGCCCTTGATCAGAATTGAACCTAGTCAGCGGGCAGAGCTGCAACCACTGAGCAAAACCTGCTAGAGCTTTGCTTTTATTTTATTTTTAGCATCATTCTTAAGTAGTTATTCACTTTTTATTTCTCCAGGAACGGGCAGATATAGGGAGGGGCACAGCGGCTGGGTCAGGAAGGTGAGAGGAAAGGCGTCCTAAGGGGACAGGGACAGGCCTGAAACCTCTCAAGGTCAAATCCAGGGTCATTCCGGAAGTGGCTCCGCGGACGCCACGCCCATCGCCCCGGGGGGGCGTGGCCGGGCGCGCTCATTGGGCGGAGTCCGCGCCGCGCGCATGCGCAGGAGGCGGCGGCGCCCTCGGGGCAGCGCGCCGGGCCGGCCGTAGGGACCCGCGCCCCCCGCCCCCGCCCCCGCCCCGCCGGGACGACCGCCCATGGCGCTGCGCGGGGTGAAGGTGGTGGAGCTGGCGGGCCTGGCGCCCGGCCCGTTCTGCGGGATGGTCCTGGCGGACTTCGGGGCGCAGGTGGTGCGCGTGGACCGGCCGGGCGCCGTGGGCGACGTGAGCCGCCTGTCGCGGGGCAAGCGCTCGCTGGCCGTGGACCTGAAGCGGCCGCGCGGGGCGGCCCTGGTGCGGCGCCTGTGCGCCCGCGCCGACGTGCTGCTGGAGCCCTTCCGCCACGGTGAGCGCCGCCGGCCCGGCCCGGCCCGGCCCCTGCCCCTGCCCCTGCGCCTGCCCCTGCCCCTGCCCCTGCCCCTGCCCCTGCGCCTGCCCCTGCCCCGGCCCCGGCCCCTGCCCCTGCCCCTGCCCCGGCCTCTTCGCCTGTGCATCCCAGGCCCGCCGGGCCCTGTTCTCCCCACCTCCCCGAGGTCCTCCCCGTTTCCCTGCCCGTCCGCGCGCGCGCGCGCGCGCGCGCGCGCGTGTGTGTGTGTGTGTGCGCGTGCGTGTGTCTGTGTGTGTGTGTGTGTGTGTGTCCGCCTCTCCAAGGTCCTAGGGGTCGGAGTCCTCTGAGAATCTAAGGGAAGGCACAGGCCTCTACCGGAAAGCGGCCTGAAGGCACGGCACAGAGCCAATGGCCTGCATTTCGGGGAGAGGGGGGTGGGGTGATGTACCCCCCAAAGCCACCCCCTGACTCAGGCTGACACCCCCGCCTCCAGGGCAGGTGATCCCCAGGGCCAGCATCAGCTCAAACTCATGCACACCGCTCCCTGGAGCCACCGTCTCCATGCATCCCGTTAGTTTCAGGGTCTCCATCCATCCCGTTAGTTTCACGGTTCGCAGGCAGGTGATGCCCTGGTCTCTCAGGCACCCCCCTCCTTCCGAGCCGTGGATTTCGGGGGTGAATCCACAGGGGTGTACAGAGGAACCGCCGCCCCCACAAACCCCAAACCCAGCCCATCGTCCTCCCTCCTGCCCTGGCATCTCCTGCGTTCTTTATCTCAGTGCGTGGAACCATGTCCGCCCAGCTGCCTTCCCCAGAAACCTGTCTTCATCCGGGACTCAGCCTCCCTTCACTCCCCCACTCTCAGCGAAAGGAAGCCAGCCCTTCTCCCTCCAGCGTCCCGCTTTCTGTCCGCACCTGCCGCAGCCTACTGGGGGCGCTGGGGTCACAGCCTTGGCAGTGCTTCTTGTTGGGTCTGCAGCACTGGGACCCACTGAGAGCAGTCCTGCCCCAGGACAGACCCAAAGCTTCGCCAGGGTAGAGCAGGAAGCGGGTCAATGTTTAGTGAATGGATTGGATGTCTGCGAGGTGCCAGGCGTTGTTCAGATGGCACTGGTCGGCAAACTCATTAGTCCACGGAGCCAAATATCAACAGGACAACGATTGACATTTCTCTGGAGAGCCACATTTTTTAAAACTTAAACTTCTTCTAACACCACTTCTTCAACATAGACTCGCCCGGGCCGTGGCATTTTGTGGAAGAGCCACCCTCAAGGGACCAAAGAGCCGCATGTGGATCGCGAGCCGCAGTTTGCCGACCACCGGTTCAGCCCATCTCCCCTCACAGCCAGCTTGGAAGAGAGAATAATCGGGGTTATATCACAATTTGTGATCCCCGTCTGAAGATGAGGGAAGCTCAGACTGGTTAATCTGTCCAGGGCCTGGCAACCAGGCGGGAGATAGAGCTGTGAACACAGAAGTAGCTGCAGGGTGAGGGCCTGTGCCAGGTGAGGCGTTTATGTATGAGGAGGACCAGCGCTCTTGTGTGAGTTATAGTCTTAGGAAAACCATTACAGGAGTGTGTGATGCAACTCTTTATTACTTTTAATCCCTGGAGGCTTTGGGTGCCAGTCACCTGAACCTTGGGCAGCGGATATTGTACTTGCTGGTAGCGTGAGCGCTTGGGTGCTGTTGTAGCTCGCCTTGCTTTCCGGGGGCATTCCCTGAGCCTGTCCGTGGAGGTACGGGCGCTAGGCGCTTTGGAGGCCTGGCGTGGGATCAGGCAGGAATCCTGCCCCAGAGCTGAGCCGGGAGGGAAAGTGGCATCTGTACACCCCGAGGCCGCAGGTGGCGGCGCCGATGCTGGCATGGAACAAGGAGAGGTCCTGAGAGGAAGAGCAGTGCTCAGACGTGAGCGTGGGGCCACACACAGACCCGGGTTACGGTCCCAAGAGGACACCCCGTTTCTCATGAGTGGCCAGGGAGCGGGCCTGAAGTGCTCACTGCAGGGACTGAGGGGCTCGGAGGGGCCGGGCGGGAGGGAAATAAGGAAGTGCTGGAAGGAGCCCGTTCTGTGGCAGAAGCCACACCTTCCGGAAGTGGTGGCTTCCAAATGCCCGCTGGCTGTGTAGCTGGGACGTGCTGACGTGTGTGATTCTGACGCCGCCCCTCCTCTACCCTCACTGGGAATCGCTGCCTGAGTCACCACGTTAGACTTGCATGGACACTTGCAAGTCATGCCGTGCTGGGCTTAACAACACATGTTGGTAGTGTTCCTTGTTGTTAGTGCTGTCTTATGTTTGCCCCATCCTCGATCCATGCGCCCTTAAGAAAATTTTTTTTTTTTTCCGCAAGGTGTCATGGAAAAACTCCAGCTGGGCCCCGAGACCCTGCAGAAGGAGAACCCCAGGCTCATCTACGCCAGGCTGAGCGGGTTCGGCCAGTCGGGAAGACTTGCCACGGTAGCAGGTCACGACATCAACTACTTGGCTCTGTCAGGTGTGCTGGGAACATGATGTCCCACACTTCCCATCTTGTTTCCAGTCGGGTCCTAACGTCACACGGATTCATGAAAAGGAGTCTTTCACGGTGAACGTCTAAGTCGATCAGGATAGAACGGTGGTTCAAAAGGGCTGGCTTGTCTTGGAGCAGTCCCGCTCGACCCCGCCCTCGGTCTTCACCCATCTGATGGGTGACATGCTCTCAGCAGTAGCATTCTTGCTACATGTGGAGTCACTTTGAGGGAGTGACTCCCTGCCAGGGGTGGTTGCTCTGTCGTTAGAAAATGCTGGTGAGGTGTGAGTCTGACACCCCGCTTCCTCCACCTCCACTGAGAACCCTTGCCTGAGTCACCATTTTCGACTTTTATAGATACGAGACAACTTGTTTTTCAAGTAGTAATATCACTTCATTTGAAATGTTATCTGTGAGAGCATGTCTTAGAATGGCCTGATTCTAGAATTTAAGGCTTGTGGGTTGTTGAGTAAATTGTCTCAAAGTCTGTGAGTACACCTTTAAAGGTTGAGGAAAGAGTGAGTACAGAACTGGTTTTTCAAATCTAGTTCATCCCTTCTCTTTTTCTTGTGTTTGATTATTGCATCTTTTTCTAATAAGAATGGAAGTGCATTATACTATTGTTAAGTCATAAACTAAATTGATGACAATCTTTTTTTTTCCCTTCTGGAATCGTTTTCCTCATTTTATTCAATAGGTAAAAAACTTACAAATAAAATTCTGAAAATGTTCGGTGGAATAAAATTTTAGAGGAGGAAAAAACAAAAGGAGGAACCTGGTTGGAGGGAAAGCCTGGTTATTAGTAGGCTGGATATGTTTAGGATTGGAAAGGCATCAGGAACTAGTTTCCACTTATGCCAGCAGCCAGAGAGACTGTGGTTCCTGTGTGCTCACGTATTTATGTAAAGGAGACGGTAACTTCACAGTCATGGTCCGGTTGTTCGGTAGGTGTCCTGTCCAGACTGGGCAGAAGCGGTGAGAACCCGTCTCCTCCCCTGAACCTCCTGGCCGACTTCGGCGGCGGCGGCCTCATGTGCGCGCTGGGCATCGTGATGGCTCTCTTCGAGCGCACGCGCTCCGGCAAAGGCCAGGTCATCGACGCCAGCATGGTGAGTGCCCGGGAAACGATGGCCCTGCCGGCCCCCCTAATGTGATAGAGGCCGCCTCAAAGGTTTTTCTGAGCAAGACAAGAGATCAGTGAGATTTGGAGGTTGAGTCCAGGTTACCAGGGACATCTGTAGAGATAAAATAGCCTCATGTCCTTTACACGCGTCAGAATGTCCTGGCTTAATCATGTGGCTGTGGAGTCCGAGTCCGTCTTATATCATTTTCATGACTCACCTGATTCTTGTGTTTTATTCATTTCCCCCCAAGCTGTTTCTTGTGATCAGAATATAGTTTTCAAGAAACCCTCATTCAAAACCGGACTCAGGAAGTCTTCCCTAGCAGAGAACATTCTTAGGGATGTGAAGGTAAAATGGAGCCAGCCGGACCTTCTCGCTGCCCTTTGTAGGGGAGACCTTGGCATCATAATGCTTTGGCTTTGACACTGCCTGACCTTGGCCATGTGCCTTGTGTGGGGGGGTAAGCGAGGCACTGTCCCTGTGTGACTTCTCCTAATGCAGCTTCGTTTGGAACACATGGCTATTTAACGAGCGGAACCCTGAAGCATGGGAATGTGCCAGGGTCTCACAGCTGGTTGGTAAGGGCCCAGTCAATGCCACTACATGTTTGGGTGGGGACCAACCTCTAGAGGGAGGATGGGGGTCGGACTGGAGGGAGATGAGACTGGAGGCAGAGAGACGTTCCTGGGTTATTGCCAAGAGATGAGAGCAAGTACCGTGCAGTTAGTGGTAGAACGGGTGTGGATTGAAGGGCTATCTGAGATGTGGATTGCTGGGATTTGGCAGTGCACAGACAGCGAAGGGAGAGGAAGGATCGAGGATGGCTCCCTTATTTCCGGTGTGGGTGACCTGGTGAATGTGTCACTGGCCCCTGGGGGAGGGTTACTGAAGGAAGAGGCAGTGTGGGCAGTGGCCGAGGGCACAGACCCTGATGGCTGACTTCCTCCATCCTGGTGCTGCCATTTCCTAGCTCTGTGATCTTGGGCAAGTGACTTAACCTCCCAGTGCCTCCGCCCTTTGTAATAATGGCACCTGCACTTTGGAAGAATTCGTTGTTACTAAAAAAAGGAAGGGAATTTGTCTTCGGTGATTCCAGGTTTGAAGTGCCTGGAGATACCCAGATGCATACCTGAAGTTAGAAACAGGTTTCAGCCATCCGGGAGCGTGCGAGACTGGTCTGCTAGGGAAGGGAGCAGAGCAACAGCCAGTGCTAAGTGGGGGGACCAGAGGGAGTGTTGTCATGGAAACAAAGGAAAGAGAAAGGTCCAAGATAAGGAATGGTCAGGGGCCATATAGGGTGGTAATCTCAGTGCTTAAAACAGAAGAATCTTATACAGTAAGCTGGATTTGTCACCGGGACCTTGTGAAAGCTTTCTCTTGCCAGAATCCCTCATCTCTGGAGCCTTTGCTGTACTTTCTCCTCTCAGGCTCAGCACTTGCAGCTCTGTCACTGCTTCTGTGCCTTGTGATCCTGCCCCCAGGGTGCAGCTCACATTGGCCTTTGTACCCATTGATCTGTCCCAGCTCCTAGCACAGTCCCAGCATGCACTAGGAGCTGCAGTAGTGCCAGGCTCGCTTTCTACAAGGCAAGCCCAAGGCTGGGCGCTTTCTGCGTGTCTGCCTCCTCAGATGCCCTCAGCCCCCTGGAGGAGGTGTGCTCCTCTCACCGGGCATTGGAAGACTTTCAGACCAGGGGAGGACGGCTAGAAAGAAGCTCAAGGGTCAGAAGCCCTGCTCAGGCCCTTTGACACAGAAGCGCTTGCTTTCCGTTATTGCCCTCTGCTGCCCTCTACTGGTCCATGTGACCAAAAGGACTGAACTAAGGGTAAACAGGCCTTTAGAGTTTTAAGGAGAATTTTAGGCTAAGCACTTATTTCATAATAATTTAAATAATTTATTAATGACATTTTATTGCTTATTTACTAGTATGTAAATGTGTATGTGTACACACACACACACACACACATATATATATATATATATATATATATATATATATATATATATACTGGAGGCCTGGTGCACAAAATTCATGCACTAGTGGGGAGGTGTCCTCAGCCCAGCCTGCACCCTCTCCAATCAGGGACCCCTCAGAGAATGTCTGACTGTGGAATTGGGCCTAAACCGGCAGTCAGACATCCCTCTCCTAATCCAGAACTGATCTCATTTGACCCAGTGATCCCTAGCGGGATGTCAGAATATATCCTAAGAAACCTGAAATACCAATCAGAAAGAACATATGCACCCCTGTGTTCATAGCAGCACAGTTTACAATAGCTAAGACTTGGAAACAGCCTAAGTGCCCATCAGCAGATGAGTAGATAAAATAACTGGTACATCTACACAATTGAATGCTCCGCTGCTGTAGAAAATAAGGAATTCTTACCATTTGCAATGGCATGGGTGGAACTGGAAAGCTTTATGCTAAGTGAAATAAGCCAGTTAGGGAAAGATAAATATCACATGATCACACTCCTTTGTGGAATATAATTAGCAACATAAACTGATTAACAAAAACAGATCCAGAGACAGAAGCATCGATCAGATGGTCAAACCTCAAAGGGAAGGTAGGAAGGGTGGGGATAAGGGGGAGAGATCAACCAAAGGACTTGTATGCATGCATATAAGCCTAACCAAGGGAGACACAAGAGGGTGGTGGGGACATGAGTGGGGTGGATGGGAGAGATAATGGGATAAGGACACATATGTAATACTTTAATCAATCAATAAATAAATAAATACTGCAATACTGTGAGGTGTGCCTGTATTTTGAGACTTTCTAGTGATCATTGAAGGTAAAATATTGTAAAAACATAAGTACAGTTTTCTTGGGCTTGGAGTCAAACTAGAATAAGTTAAATTTTACTTAATGTGACTTACCTTTACAATGAGATATGTTTTACATATCTGTGTGTATGTGTTTATAAATACTGAGATCAGAAAATAGACTTTAAAAAGCCTTTGTGCTTTCTTTTTAGCTTTCTATCCTGATAGTTTTAACATATAAAAAAAAGTAGAGAGAATATACTATAAATGAACTTTTATGTATCCTTACCTAACTTCAAAAATTATCCATATTTTGCCAGTCTTATTTGAAAGGGAGAACAAAGTAATACCTTCTAGTTTTCTGAACAGTATTTTCTGAATTGAATAATATAGAAACCAACTCTACCATAACTTAAATACCAAGGAAGTTGTATAGTTAGATATAACCTTGTTATACTCTTAAGGTAAACATTTTTGCACAACCATTAAAGAAAAGCCTGAGTAGAAAGTAGTGGTGCTTTACAGTTTACTTATCGGTATTCTGTCTCTTTAAAGGTGGAAGGCGCAGCATACCTAAGTTCTTTTCTGTGGAAAACTCAAAACCTGGGGCTGTGGGACCAGCCTCGAGGGAAGAATCTATTGGATGGTGGTGCACCTTTCTACACCACGTACAGGACGGCCGACGGGGAGTTCATGGCTGTCGGCGCGTTAGAGCCCCAGTTCTATAAGCTGCTGGTCAAAGGTGGGTAACTATCCTGTGCCTCCCGCCCTCTCCTGTGGCTGCACTTCAGCTGCTCTTTCAGGGCCTTTTGAAATTCATGATGTCTTTCTCTACATATCCACTGTATATAATAATTAACCCAGTGACAGCCATCATTCTCCTGTGGGTATTACCCCCACCTTTTAAATTGACAGGTAATTTTATCCTGTATTATAAAGAGTAATATGCAAATTGACCATCACTCCAACACATAAGATGGCCACCCCATGTGGTCAAAGATGGCCACCCCCATATGGACAGAAGATGGCCATCACAAGATGGAGGGCAGTTGGGACTATTAGGCCTGCAGGGGAGGGCAGTTGGTGAGGACTAGGCCTGCAGGGGAGGGAAGTTGGGGGCGACCAGGCCTGCAAGGGAGGGCAGGTAGGGGCAATCAGGCCAGCAGGGGAGCAGTTAGGTGTCAATCAGGCTAGCAGGGGAGTAGGTAGGGGGTGATCAGGCTAGCAGGCAGAAGCGGTTAGGGGCAATCAGGCAGGCAAGCAGGCAAGCTGTTGGAACCAGCAGTCCAGGATTGTGAGAGGGATGTCTGACTGCCTGTTTAGGTTCAATCCTGGGCTGTCGGACATCCCTCGAGGTGTCCCAAATTGGAGAGGGTGCAGGCTGGGCTGAGGGACACACACACCCCTATGCATGAATTTTGTGCACCAGGACTCTAGTAATTCTACAAAATAGCTCAGATTTTAATAAATAATGACCTCATTGTGGGAGTTCAGTGTTTTTATTACATTTTGTGCTCAGTTAGAGATTTATCTTGCCCTTGTGTGCTGTTATCTTATTCTTCCCTAGAAATGACCTGCTAGGCATCCTGTCCCCTGATAGACGTCCTTCTGACACCTCAGTGAGGGTCACCAGAGCACGGAGACTTTGGTGACAGGTTTTGTTGGAACATGTTACTGTCATTGATGCTTCTGGTGAGAAGAGTATACTCTGAAGTAGTGTGACAAGCTGGTCACAGAGCATTTCTCTCTCAACTGTAGAGTTTCACTGTTAGGTAAGGTGGCTTTGCAGATGCAATGTGCTACTCAGAGTTATGTGTATATCGCTGCAATGACTGTTTTTGCCAGCATCAGAGAGCAATTTATGATCAACTGCATTAACTTCACCAACTTAAATATAGTTTAAAAACTGTGGAACAGTTTTTAAGCATTACAGAATTTATAAAGTAAGAAGTAAAAGGATTCTTTCTTGTCTTTCCACTTGGGGTTAGTTTGGGATGTGACCTTCCAGTTCTTTTTTTGGGTGTACATACAAACAAAACTTTTATTTTCAATTTATAATTTACATATATATGCAATTATATAAAATTATAATTAATAGCTGTTTCCTTTTATTCAACAACTAGAGGCCCAATGCACAAAATCCATGCAAGAGGAGGCCTTCCTTCCCCCTGCTGCTGGCACCTGGGACCCGGGCTGCCCTCACAGCCCCGGCTTCATCTGGAAGGTCGTCCAGAAGGACATCTGGCCTAATTAGCATATTATGCTTTTATTATTATAGATACAACAGAGGCATCATTTCTTGTCAATATGAAGGATCTTCATTTTGCATTTTCAGAGCAGCTTACAATTAGTTGTTCTTCAGCATGGGAGAGAAGGAAAGAGTTATGAAAATGAGAATTACTTTATTAACTTGGCTAAATTTACACAAAATATGCATAAGAAGAAGGGGCTTTTATTATTATTTCTCCCTCAAACTTCCACACTAAAAACCCCCCTTTTTTTTTGTGAGGGAATAAATGACATTTATACCAAACCCTAGTCAGGTGGCCCATTTGGGTAAAATTTAATCAGCACTGGAGTCTGCAGGGTAGGAGCTTGTCCGTGAAGGAAGCCTGAGCCAGAGGAGCTGTCCTTCCTGTAACCCCCCATCTTTTCTGTAACCCCCCCCCCCCCCGCCATCCTGTGTGTCTGCGCGGGGGTGGGTCCTCCGAGGCCCTTTATGCTCAGGAGCAAAGTCTGCGTGCCCCGCCCGTGACTGGACGGCCGGTAGATGACCTTCTGTCCTGTTTGCGCTGGAACAGTGCAGTGAGTCTTGGATACTTTACAGCTTTTTGCCTCCTCGCTCGCAGTGTCTTTAGGGGGTGATGAGTCAAATAGCACTGTCCTCCAGAACGCTTTCGTTTGATCAAATGCAGAGAAATGAATACTGTTCATCAAATTAAAATCTTGAATTTAATCATTTACTATTAGGCCTCTTCCTTGAAAATTGAGGTAGACAGGAGCAAATTGTTTAAATTTTATCTTCGTGGGGTTGGGAGCATTATGTACATTATAAGGTTACTTCAGTTCAGTCTGACAGATGGTAACATCATGAGGAAATTCCTTGAAAACTCATTCAGAGGGAAAAATCGATTTTTAAAACTAGACAGTTTTTTTAAAAACTTTTTTTTTATTGTTGATATGCACAATAAAAAAAAAAAAAAAACCCTTCCCTCCCTCGACTGCTTTAGGTGAAGTGCAAAGAATAAAACCTGGCTTGGTTGAATCCTGCCACCCCTCCTGCCCTGCCCTCCAGCTTGGGCTCCAACTGCAGGTGCATTTGAATTTCCTCTCTTGGCCCATGTGAGCAGCCCTTACAGAGCATCCTGTTTGGGACAGCAAGCTTAAAACTCTGTTTTGTTTTTTTATCACCGTTCCACCCAAAACATAATAACTTATGAAACTGTGTCTCTCCTCTCAGGTCTTGGGCTGGAATCGGAGAACCTGCCCCCCCAGATGAGCGTGGCCGAGTGGCCGGAGATGAGGAAGAAGTTCGCGGCTGCGTTTGCCAGGAAGACAAAGGCAGAGTGGTGCCGCGTCTTCGACCGCACGGATGCGTGCGTGACTCCGGTGCTGACTTTCGAAGAGGTTGCCCATCACCCTCACAACAAGGAGCGGGGCTCCTTCGTCACCGACGGGGAGCAGGGCGTGAGTCCCCGCCCGGCACCTCTGCTGTCCGGCACCCCCGCGCTCCCCTCTTTGGAAAGGGACCCGCTGATAGGAGAGCACACTGAGGAGGTCCTGAGGGAGTTTGGGTTCAGCCAGGAGGAGATTGACCAGCTGTACTCAGACAAAGTTATTGTAGGAAATAAGCTGAGAGCGAGTCTCTGACGCCCCTCCACGCAGTGAGTCAATATCGCCCGTACAGAACGGTACACACAGATGTGTGCATGGGAACGTGAGGGGCAGGAGGGCAGCATTCCAGCTATTCTGATCAAGAAGCAGTAATGATCCTTTCTGAAAATGGTTAACATCAAGTGCCTTTTGATTGAGGAATGTTTTTAATTTATACTAAATTGTGTCAACTTTCTGCCTTGATAAATTATATTTGTTGATATTAAAACACTTCAATATTTATAATAGGCTTTAAATGAATTAATATAATTTTTTATTAAATAAAGCTTTTTTGCCCTAAACTTGACTTGTGAGCTTTTACGTCTGAAAAACTTTCAAGAAAGTCCTATGAAGTAGCGCTTAAATAGCATATTGTGACTCGTTGAAATATTTTTGGTTCTACTGTTTACCAAAACGAATGTCCTTAGATAGAAAAGTCTGATCCTTTTAATTTGATAAGGAAATTATTCAGCCAGTCTTGGAACTTCCTTCAGATCACACCCACCCCTGCCTCAGGACCACCCATAGAGAGCCTTACACACACACACACACACACACACACACACCCCGGTGTGGCTGCCTGTTAGCATCAGCCAAACTCGACAGCACACATTGCACTGTCATCCATGTGATAGGCCTCCCAGACTTCCTCCTTTTCCCAGTTTCTGGTTTCCAGTCCCATCACGCCTCCCTCTGCCCCTGTAGGTCCCAGCTGACTCCTCACTTCACGTAGGCCACTGCCCAGATGCCACTGTGCCAGCGTCCTTTCCCACCCGGTCTAAAGTCCCAGCCAAGTTACCACTCGCCGGCCCTCGCCATCATCACTGCTGGCCCCAGCCCGCACTCCCTCTGAACCACTGCATCCTAGACGGGAAGCTTTATATAGGATCTGTAGGTTTTAGTCACACCAAATCCCGTTCCTAGCACAGTGCCCAACCCGTGGTGAACACAGGGAACATTTATTAACGAAAGAGTGATGTGCAGTCAGTCCCAGCTCCACGGCCCAGTGATGTGCTGGTCCTCCTGCCCATTTCTTACTCATCCACGCCCCGTCACCTCCTCCCTGGACTGCTGCTCAGCTTCCCTGTTCACTTTGACTTCCAGTGCATTGCCTTCGCTTATTTCCGCCATGGTTTTGACGTCAGACTGGTCTCCTTAGGCCTGTAAAAGTCTTCAGTGTTCCTCTTTGTTCTTATGGGATAAAATACTAACTCATGTATATAGTATACAAACCCTTTACTTGTCATAAGACTACCACCTCGTTGTCCATTCCCACCCATACCCTCCCTCCCCAGCACTTTATATTGGACTGGCTAACGTTTCTAACGGTGCTTTGTTCCTTTCCATGGCTGCACTGTGACCCAGGACTAGCAATACTCCTGCTCCCTTTTGCTCCAGCCCGATGGCCTAGCAACCTGGCTCAGACACAGTCTTCCTAGTGCAGCTTCCTTCATTTCTCAGCCCTAGGGTGGTTTTGTACAGTGATTAAGAACTTTGGAGCAGAAAGGCCTTGGGTTCGAATCTCTATCGTTGTGATGTCTGAGACAATGACTTTGCCATGCCTGGTACATCCTAGGTGCTAGGTGTTAGCTCTTAACCTTAGCTCTTTCTACGTTCCCATTACACTTTGTACTTATTTTCCAAAGATAGTCATTGTTTTTAGTGTCCTTTATATAGCTCTTCACTAGCTCCTGAACTCCTAGCACACAAAGGAGTCAGATGGAGATACTGTTACAACACAGATATCTGCATCCCAACCCTAGAGATTTGAATGCAGTGGGCCCAGGGCGGGACCCAAGAATTTGCATTTTTACCGAACTTGCTTATACTGCTCCCAATTCAAAGGCCACACTTGGAGTAGCACCATTCTAATGGATATGAACCCAGTAATTTTACCTTTTTACTGTCATAGATGCTAAAAAAAAAATCTGTTGAATAGATAAGTTGGCAAAAACTTGTAAATAAACAGATGGGCTGACTTAGAATATTGATTTCGGTGATTGATTAGCTTTTATAAAATGTTGAATGAAAAGTTTTTTCTAGGGTGTGAACTTCTAATGAATAATTGTATATAAATAAAGTCACTAGCTTTCGTTAGTGACCCATACTTTTCTTCTGAAGAGTATAAGACCTCGTGCAGAAAATGCTATACTTTCTCTTTTTTCTAGTTATCTTTTGACAAAATGTAGATTTAGAAATAGCAAGAGGGCAAGTAAAAGGATGGAAATTCCAGAGAAAGAGGAATTATATTCATTTTGTTTTACTTAATTTGGAAAATTAAATTTATTGGGTGCATTGGTTAATATTACATAAATTCAGGTGTAAAGATCATAATTTGACATCTGTGTACTCTCCACCCGAAGTCTAGTTTCCTTCCTTTGCCATCCTTTTCACCTTTCCTTCTCACTTCCCCCTGGAGTAACCATCATTCTGTTGTCTGAATCTGAGTTTGTTTTTGTTTTATTAGTTTGTTACTTTTTGCTTTATATGTCATATATGAGAGAAATCATATGGTTTTTGTCCTTTTCCATCTGACTTATTTTACTTAGCATAATTCTCTCAAGATCCAGCCATGTTGTTGCAAATGGCAGTATTTTCCAATTTTTTTAATGGCTGAGTAGTCTTCTTTCTCTAATCATCTCTCAATTGACACTTAGGTTGTTTTCCTCTCTTGGCTATCCTATCAAATAAAGAGAGAATATACTAATTGACCGTCACACCCTCACAAAGATGGCAGTGCCCACAGCCAATAAGGAGGAAATATGCTAATTGACTGCCACACTCTCAAAGATGGTAGCACCCACAGTCACAAGATGGTGGCGCCCAGTTCCCTCAGCCCTGCTGGGGCGGCAGGCGTGTCGCACAGCTGGGCCTACCCGTAGGCTGGTCTGGCTGCTCCACACGCCTGCCTCCAGAGTCCCCCAGTCCCTCAGGGTCAGCCCGAGGCACAGGCAAGCTTCGAATGTCAGCTGCCCAGCTGCCCAGCTGCCCAAGGCTGCCTGAGGCTCAGGTATCCAGGGCCAGCCGAGGCTTGCACTGCCAACAGTGGCAGTAGCAGAGGTGTGATGGGGGCATCGCCTTCCCCTGATTATCAGGTTACCTCCCACCACTGAGGGTTCCTGGACTGTGAGAGGGGACAGGCCAGGCTGAGGGAACCCCCCCATCCAGTGCATGAATTTTCATGCACCGGGCCTCTAGTTGTAAATAATGCTGCAGTGAACACAGGGGTATATATATCTTTACAAATAAGTGTTTTCACATTGGGGACAAATACTAGAAGAGGAATTATTGGGTCATATGATAGTTCTATTACTAGTTTTTGAGAGGCCTTTATACTATTTTCTATATGGCTGTACTAATTTATATCCCCATAAGGTGAATTGTATACCTGCATACACAGGAATTACTAGTATATTCTTAAATGCATAGTTCAGTATACATTTATTTCCACTCTCTTTTGATCCTACAATGTAGGAAGTGATGAAGTGCTACAAACTGTATGGTGATAATAAAATAAGGCACATGGGACAAAGTGACTGGTTGCATTGACCCCTTCTAGCCTGCCCCGCCCTCCTACCCCAGGCCATCACCATCCTACTGTGTCCATGGGTTATGCATATTTGCATATAAGTTTTTTGATTGATCTCTTCCCACCCCCACTCCCTCTTAACTTTCTTTTTTTTTTTAAATATATTTTATTGATTTTTTTATAGAGAGGAAGGAAGAGGAAGAGAGAGTTAGAAACATTAATTATAGAGAAACATCAATTAGCTGCCTCCTGCACACCCCCTATTGGGGATGTGCCTGCAACCAAGGTACATGCCCTTGACTGGAATCGAACCTGGGACCCTTGAGTCCACAGGCTGACATTCTATCTACTGAGCCAAACTGGTTAGGGCACTTCTACCTTTCTTGGTTCACATTTCTCTTAGTGTCTCAGTTGTATTTTTTACAGTGCCCCTAGGTCAAAAGAAAGATCCAACCATTCCATTTATAATTAGGTCTCCCGAGTTTAAATATGTATATCCTAACAAGTAATTAGCTGTTTGAAAAAAAAAAAATACATAAGTAGAAAGAAGTCACATTTTAATTTTTATTTCATTTTTAATTACAATTTGTTACTATTGGATCATATATGCACCTATGTGACACAACACAGTGTCATGTTCATAGAATCAAATTGGATACTGCTATTCATTCTCTGCAGTGCGATCTTATGTTGAAAGTGTGAACTACCTCACAAGGAGTTCACGTGGTATCTCATAGATGGTGAGTTTCATTCTGTTTACTGTCTCCAAGTGTTTAAATATCCTGAGACAGTCCTGTAAATACCTCATAGTGGCCTGGGTCGCCTTGGTATACCGGGTGGGAAACCATGTTAAGTGATTTGCCCAGGGAAATACGGCTAGGAAGAGGCAGAACCAGAATTGAAACTTGAATATTCTGACTCCTGGCTCCAACTCTTCCTCTTCACCCATTTTTAGAGCCCTTCCTATGGGGTCATGTTTCACCTCCACTCAGACTCTTCATTTGAACTCAGGTTCCAGCACGGAAAACAAGGCCCACCCTGGTCTTTAAAACAGAGGACATTTGAGATAGAGAATTGCCCTGGTGACGGAAGAGCTGAGAAGCCAAGAGGACAATGAGTCAGCCCCAATATGAGCAACCGGGAGAAGCCAGGACCCCTCCTGTGTCCGCAGGGACGAAGGTGGTGTTATCCGGTGGGAACTGGACCTGAGTGGAGATGCAGCTGGGGCCAGAGACCTCCCAGAGAGGAGAAAGGGGAGAGGGTGGGATTTCTTCCCTTCTCCTGCCGCTGTCTTTTCATCAGCGCTTCCATGGGCCACGTCTGCCTCAGAGCCAGGGCGCAATGGGACCTGGGAATGTAGTTCCTTATGGTACAGAGCATGGAGGGCAGGGCAGGAAATGGACCTGAGCAAACAGGCAGTTTGCCTGGCACCAGAAAGTGTAGTGTCTATGCTTCATTCAATACTTTCGTTAGCAACTATTTACCGAGAACCCACAATGGGCGTCAGAGGTCTTGCTAGTAGCTGGGGATCCCATCATGAGCAGCATGGTCCTGATCAGAGCCTGAGTAATACAGGGTAAGTAGAATAAACACACGGCCATTGGATTATAAAGTGCGCTGAGTGCAATGCAGGAAGCCATCACAGTGCTGACAGCTAGTGACTGAGAGGAGAGGTACGGCCTTCTAGCGTTTTAAGTCGGTTTAGTGACTCTTCAAGTGTGCGTGCAGAAAACGTGTGCTCAGGAAAGCATATTCATATCTAGAAAAAGTTTTAAAAGGGTATTGTGACTTAACATCTGCTTTTAGGTCTTTATTGTCTCAAACCTGTGTGTGTGAGATTGTAACAGAATGGGTGTGTGTTAGGAGGAGAGAGAGAGAAGAAAGAGAGAGAAACAGAGAGGGAGGGAGACAGAGACAGTGGGAGAGAGAAACGGGGAAAGGGAACAGTGCGAAGGAAGATTCCTTCAGGAAAACATCCTAAGGAGCCAGAGGCCTCAGGGCAGCTAAGCTCTGGCAGGCCTAGGCCCCACCTCCCTGCCCTCTCATCATAACTTGTGATCTGAGAGGCATGAAAGAATCTGAGCCCTTCCCCCCGCCCAACCCTCTCTCTGGGCTGCTCGGCCAGGCTCCCAGTCAAAACCAGCTCAGGAATCGGAGGGGCCACGCAGGAGGTGGCGGGCGTGCAGGCAGGTTCCTCACCCGGTGGCCATGGGCGGCAACAGCGGACAGCCGGGCGTGCACGCTTACACATCGCTGGCCGAGGATGGCCCCCGGGCCGCTGGGGAGCCGCCCAGGAGACCCACAGGCCGGCTGGTCATGCACAGCATGGCCATGTTCGGCCGGGAGTTCTGCTACGCGGTGGAGGCGGCCTACGTGACCCCCGTGCTGCTCAGCGTGGGCCTGCCCAAGAGCCTGTACAGCGTGGTGTGGCTGCTGAGCCCTGTGCTGGGCTTCCTGCTGCAGCCCGTGGTGGGCTCGGCCAGCGACTACTGCCGGGCCGGCTGGGGCCGCCGCAGGCCCTACATCCTGGCCCTGGGCGTCATGATGCTGCTGGGCATGGCCCTGTACCTCAACGGGGACACCGTGGTGTCAGGTCAGTGCGCCCCGCAGGTGGGCAGGCGGGCGGGCGGGAAAGGGTCCTACTGGGCCCCTCACAGGAGTGTTTGAATTTCTCCATGGGACACTTATCAGTGGTTCATCTCTCCTAGGTTTCCAGGAACTTCCAACTTGGAATGACCCAAGGTCTGTGGTTGGGGCACTTTTACTTTCAGAAACATGAGAGTGCATTGTTGTTGGCTTGGTGTGTGTGTGTGTGTGTGTGTGTTTTAAAATAGGATTAAATTTTTATCTATTTTATCAAGCTTAGTAATTTCACAATTTATTAATTGCCATGTTTTTTGAGCGCATTCCATGTTGTTTAGTACCTTGTCAAATTAACCAGCTGTAAGTATTTGCAATAAATTACCCGTGTGTCCAAATAAGGGTTAACCTGGGCAGAGCTTTGTGTGGAGCTGCTTAGTGGATGCAGGGCATCTGTCTACAGCTCCAGGGAACATTTTGGCAAATTCTGGACAAAACAGACGTGTTGGAGAGCACTTTTTCTAGCCATTAATCAACCACCAATTAATCAGTAATTAATCAGTAATTGGTGGAAGTAGATAAAATGTTGCACTGAAAAGACGATCTTAAATGTAAAAAATAGCGCATATGTTTAGGCCTTTAACTCCCAGGCAAGCAGAATGTCTGATAATGAGGCAGGATAATTAGTTATCTTTCATATATAGTTAATAGAGGGCGTAAGTACATAATTGTAGGGTATTTCTGGAAGAATGACAAGAAAACCCGGTAAGACTGCTGCCTCCAGGGAGGGGTACGGAAGGACTGGCGGTGAGAAGTGGAGGATGGGCTTACTTTCATGCTATCATTTAAAAAACATGTGCATATATTACGTATTAGTCTCAAAAAACTAACTAAAAGCAAGACAAACTAAGATTGGATGGATGAAGTGTGGCATATCCATAGAATGAATATTATTTGGCTGTTAAAAATTGTGAAATTGATCTTCATTAATTGGAATGCGAAGACGGGTAGAGAGTTGGTTATAAACGAGCATGTGCACGTGGTCCTGTGAGCCAGTGCTTTTCAAAGCCCGGTCCTTCAGCTGCAGCATCACTGGGGCTCTTGAGATGCAAATCCCCAGGCTCTACCTCAAACCTTCTGAGGAATCATGGGAAAACCATTGAGAATCATGGGAGATGGAGTCCAACCTTCCAATCCTTTAACAGGTCATCCAAGCACTGGTCAAGTGTGCTAAAGCTTGAAAAGCACTGCATTAAGGCACAAATGTACACCTTTCTCTGTGTGCATGTAAGTGCATAAAGGGACGTGTGAAGGAGGGCCATCGCTGGCGCTAGGACCTGAAGTATTTGCCCAGATTTTCTATATTGTTGAAATGGTTTATAATAAGCATGCACAGTTTTTAAAACCGGTCTAAAGAGCTATGATTCACATACCATAGAAGTCACCATTTTAAAGTGTACAATGAAGTGCTTTTTAGTATATTGGCCAGGCTGTGCAACCATCACCCTATCTAATCCCACATTTTTTAAAAATATATATATTTTATTGATTTTTCACAGAGAGGAAGAGAGTGATAGTTAGAAACATCGATGAGAGAGAATCATCAATCAGCTGCCTCCTGCACAGTCCTTACTGGGGATGTGCCCACAATCAAGGTACATACCCTTGACCGGAATCGAACCTGGGATCTTTCAGTCCACAGGCTGACACTCTATCCACTGAGCCAAATCGGTTTCAGCTAATCCCACAACATTTTCATCATTCTCCACAAGGAAACCCGGTAAGCATTAGCAGTCACACTCCATTCTCTCCTCCCCACCGGTAAAGGCAACCACTCATCAGCTTCCTGTCTCCATCCATTTGCCTTTCATGGAATAATTGTTAAAATCTAAACGAAATCGAAACGTTTTTATGTGGAAAACAAAATGAAATGAAAACAAAGGGAGATCACTGGGTGACAAGAAGGTTGGGCGGGAATACCAATGCGAGTCATTTCAAACCCAGCCTGAGGTGCCCCCTGTTCATTGCTCTTGTAGCGCTGATCGCTGAGCCCCGGAGGAAGCTGGTCTGGGCCATCACCGTCACCATGATGGGCGTGGTTCTCTTTGACTTCGCCGCGGACTTCATCGATGGGCCCATCAAAGCCTACTTGTTCGATGTCTGCTCCCACCAGGACAAGGAGAGGGGCCTCCACTACCACGCCCTCTTCACAGGTAGAATATTCCGGAAAGCCTCTTCTCCAGCTCCCAGACAGAGAGCCCCTTCCACGGAAGCCATCCCGTTGAGTTTTTTTGTTTGTTTTTTTTGAATGAATGAATGAATGGATCACTTGATGGAATGCCCCATCACGCGGGGCTCTGCTCCCAGTGCATTTCTCCAAACAAAGTCAGCTTGTGACCAGGCTGCGGAGTTTGGCAAAGGAAGTTTACATGAGAGCCTTCTGAAGAGCCATCTGTGGAGGCTTTACAACCGAAATGAAAGGAGGCCTTGTGCACCTTACGTTTTGGTTGCTTAAAAAAAAAAAAAAATCAGTAATGTAGCATCAGCATTACTTCAGAAGCTTGTTAAAATGCCGCTTCCTGCCCGCCTCCCCGTTACTTTGAGTCCCTGGGTTTGGGGTAGGTGCCCAAAATGTGCATTTTTTATAAGTCCCCCAGATGATTCTGTGGCAAGTATCCCAAGAACCACATTTTAAAAACAGAAATAGAAACAAACCAAGCAAATAAAAACAAAAAAACCCTAGCACCGTGGTCGGCAAACTGCGGCTCACCAGCCACATGCGGCTCTTTGGCCCCTTGAGTGTGGCTCTTCCACAAAACACCACGGCCTGGGCGAGTCTAGTTTGAGGAAGTGGCATTAGAAGAAGTTTAAGTTTAAAAATGTGGCTCTCCAAAGAAATTTCACTCGTCGTGGCTCTGTGGACTGATGAGTTTGCCGACCAGTGGCCTAGGAGATTGCTTAGTCCTATAAAGACTGGCATTTCCTCGGCCTCCTGGTCTGAGAGAAGCCATGGCAGGAGGACGGAGGGCTGTTCTCGGGGCTGTGGCGGGCCTCCTGTGGCTGCTGTTGGCCATGCACGCAGAGCTGTGCTGCTAGCAGTCAGCAGGCACCTATAGGGCTGCTCCAGGGCTGGGGTTCTCCTGAGGCCACAGCGCCCTGCTGGCCCAGGAGCATTTTTATATCGAGGGCCGGGGAGACTGCCAGTCTACCATATTTGATCAGCGTCCTCGCCCAGCCAATCTATTTCTTTCTCATGTGCTGCATTCTCTCTCCTCTATGGGCAGGTGGGTCCCAATGAGAAGCAGGATCTCGTGTTCTGTGGATTACGTCTCCATTGCCAAGAGCAGTGCCCGCAGATGGAAGCCATTGGGTCACTATTTGTGGTTGGGGCACGTGTTTGAACGGCAGACACGGGAGGACTGGGGCTGCCCGAGAGAGAGAGAGCAGTTCCTCTCGCTTCAGGGAGGAGGGGGAGCAGGGGTCCATTCCTGTCTGGCCCCGGCCCTGACCATCCTCTCTGCAGCATAGAGATTCACCTGCCTGCTCCTGACTTAAATCCCACAATCCCATCTGCTCCATCATAACTGAAATCAATTACAGCACAGCCACGGGAGACGTTCTGGCTTTTGAACAGGACACATTGAGAATGACAATGTGGCTACTACCACTTCCCAGGTTATGACAGTATTAGTCTAGGACAGTGGCCAGCAAACTCGTGAGTCAGCAGAGCCAAATATTAACAGTACAACGATTGAAATTTCTTTTGAGAGCCACACTTTTTAAACTTAAACTTCTTCTAATGCCACTTCTTCAAATTAGACTCGCCCAGGCCGTGGTATTTTGTGGAAGAGCCACACTCAAGGGGACAAAGAGATTGTGAGCCGCAGTTTGCTGACCACGCGTCTAAGCCAAACAACCTCTGCTTTGCTGCCTCTGATATTCAAAGATTGAACCTTTATATTTTGGTTACTTTTTCAAGGCAAACACATGATAGCGTTCCTATGAGTTTGAGAAAATATTTGGAGGTTTTCTGCTGATATTAGCATAAGGTGTAGTCTCAGCAAATATGTATAATTTTGATATACATATTTATATTTTAAATACAAATGTTCATATATATATTTTGGGATCTTACTACATCTTATCTGAGCTTTGTATTTATCCCTTAGCTGTTTTGCAGCCTCTCCCTTCCTCCTATCTTGAGAACCCATACATAGCTTTCAGTTTCATCTTCCTGAAGGACATACCTGACTGGGCTCAGCGACCTGCCCAGCGACGGCAGTGACTTCCCACTCGCCTCCTGCATAACCACCCAGTTCCTAGGCAGGTTCAAAGCTCCCCCGGCCTGTTGCCTCCATCCTCTTCACGCTTTGCTCCCCACCACTCCATCCACACTCTGTGCTCTAGACAGTTCCCCCGATCTGCTCCTGGGGCGCAGGCCACGTCTGCTTTACTTGCCGTGTCCCTCCCGCTCCCAGCACCGCCCGGCATAGCACCGGTGCTCAAAATAAACATTAATGCTGCTTTCCCCTTCTGCTCTTGGGTTTTTACTCACTTCCCCCTGTCCTGCCAATGGCCATGAAAGCCACTTGGACACTTTCACCCCCCTACTGGGAGAAGCCCCCCCCCCCCTCCTAAATTTGGGGCAAACTCAATTTCTAACTTGGTCAGGGACTTCACCCACCAAATAACAAAGGACGGAGGTTTATCAAATGGATGAACATAAAAGCATCATGAGGCGGTTGTCTCTCACAGGAAGAGAAGGTGGAGGTGACAGTTCTAACAGTTCCCCTCAGACATGCCCGATTCACCTCCTCTTGGGGCCCATGTGGTCTGTTCGGCTGTCATAACAGAATGCCACACAATCGTAGTTATTCCTGTTCTGGCAAAGGATCTCAGGCCTGCAGCAAGGAAGCATTTTAAAGGATTCAGTGCCAAATGTTCCTAAGTATTTCGTTCCCTCCAGCCCACCAGGCTTGCAGTAGTTTTACTGGTAGTTTCCAATGAGAGCAAAAGGGAGAGAGAGAGAGAGAGAGAGAGAGAGAGAGAGAGAGAGAGAGAGAGAGAGAGAGAGATTCGGTGAGGAACTGGCCCCATAAACACCTTTGGAAGTAGGATGGGTGATGGGTGAGGCTCGGCCTCTTTAGACTTTTCTGTTTCTCAGTCCTTTAGTGCAGGCATGAGGTTGGCTCTGCTCTGGGTTTCACGGCTGGACCCCTGTGGCCCCTCCTTTGTAAAGGCTGTTATCTAATGTGGCAGCAGATGTCCTTTGGCTGCTCCAGCTGATGGCCTGGTGATCGGTTCCAGGGCCCCGCGGAGGCTGATGTTGTCAATAGAGATAAACTCTGCGGACAGAGATGTGAGAGTTGGTGTTAGCCTTTGTTGGGGCTAACATGGCTGGGATTTTTATAAAGACTATCTTTGAAGATAAAATCCTCAGCTTAAGGAGCAGAAGCAAACAGAAAAGCCTCCAATTAATCCCCAAAGCCCCCTACCGGCTTTTATCATGTCTGGCAGTGTGAATAAAGCTTAAGTATTTGGGTAATTTCTCCAATCATCCACTAGTCCTTCAGGGGATGTTCTGTTGCAACTCTGAGCTATATCCCCAGTAGCTTTGGGACAAACAAACACGGGGTTGCCTCTTTTGTTTTCCCACCCCACCCCCACTTACCCAATCCTGCCCTAAAGAGAACGGAGGAGGGGAAATTCTAAGTTATTTGTAGCATGTGCCAGGTTTTACTTAACTGATTAATGAGTGAACCAACAGGGAAGACAGAAAGAACACTTTTCCCAAGTTCCTGCACTGTGTGTGTGTGTGTGTGTGTGTGTGTGTGTGTTAGGTGATTTTACCCAATGTAGATGAAAGGAAGTGTTCTGAGCACATTTTAATTAGGTGAGGCTAGGCTATAATCAATATCATATCAACTTACTACATTTCCAATCCATGATGGATTGTTGGGAAATAACTTCATTGTAAGTCAAGGAACATCTTCATTTATTCTCTTTTGCTTCTGGGTGAGGCTTCAGAGTTAGGGTTTCTGTAGGAAGTCAGCTGCTCACTGGGTTTTGGTATTGACTCTACCACTGTATGTGCTGGTGTTTTACGGTGTTATCATGCTAACCGTCAGGAAACTCAGACAAGCAGGATCACCACCCCCTTCCTCCCAGCAGGATGCCGTCATCACATGATGAGAAAGCACACAGGTGGGAATGGAAACCGAGCATAATTCCAAACCCCTTCTTTTCAGCTGACCCATCACTTAACCACTGTGGCTGTGGCTTTCTCATCCAATTCAACTTCCCGAGCTCCAGACAGCCTTCTACCACTAGAGCTTTTGGACTCATTGATATATTGAACTTTTATGATCTTCATTGCTAATTAAGAGAAATCTTGCACCCTGACTGGTTTGGCTCAGTGGGTAGAGTGTCGGCCTGTGGATTGAAGGGTCCTGGGTTCGATTCTGGTCAAGTGCATGTACCTTGGTTGTGGGCATATCCCCAATGGAGAGTGTGTGGGGAGGCAGCTGATCAATGTTTCTAACTCTTTATTCCTCTCCCTCTCCTTCTCCCTTCCTCTCTGTAAAAAAAATCAATAATAAAAATCAAATTATTAATAGTCAACATCATCTTGTTACTATGAATTAAGCACCAAAAATAAACTTTTCAGAACTTCTCTATACTATTTAAGTCCCCAGCTAACAGTTCTAAGTTCTTATTTATCACAGGTTGTTGTTTTTTTTTAAATAGTTGTTTACTTATCTGCTTCTCCTACTTAGAATTGCCTTCTTATTTATGGTCATATCCTCAGAAACTATTAGAATCCCTTACATATATTTTAGTGCTCAGTAAATGGCTTTTTTGTTTGTTTGTTTGTTTGTTTGTTTTTGTTTTTGTAAATGTTTACTGAACCATACACAACCAGTGAACACAAAACTGGACTAGTGAATCCTCCAATTATAGAACTCAACTGACCTAATACAAATGCATCATTATATTTATATCTGCATATTTATACGCATGAACTAATCACCATTCCATTGAACAGTGGATGATTTGTTTTACATATCAATTCTTTCAAATGGGCAGGTGTCTTCTATTCTGCCCAGTGGAACAATACATTTTAAGGAGAGAAGAAGAATCAAGGGATTACGTGACATTATAACAACCACTGATCAATGGTTGCACATGAGAAATAGTTTGAAAAAAGGGATGTGTACATTTTTCGTAGCGTTGATTAAGGACAGAGGTTCTCACCTGGGGGTTATTTTGCCCGTAGGGGACACCAGGTCATGTCTGAAGACATTTGTGATTGTCATAACTGGTGGGGAGGGTTTGGAGAGGTTATTGCTGACAGATGGTAGAGAGAGGCCAGGAGGCTGCTAACACCTTATAACGCCCACCGCAGCCCCGTCCAGCAGAATGATCCAGCAGCAAATGTCAGGAGTGCCGAGACTATGAAACCCTAATTAGATAGACTCTTGAATACTGCTTTGCATTTAATGCATTTTTGGTTGACTGCTTGGCTTATCACATGACCTCTGATACCCTGGCATACCCACAGTTGGGTAAAGAGAGTTATTGTTTCATGATGACCTAGAGGCACCACAAATCCCAGAACTGCTCTCTGAATCAGGCTGCCTCAAGGACCTCCCCTTCCTCTCAGATCCTGGGCACCAACCACCCACAACAGCCGTGTGTGTCATTTATCTGTTATGTATATGCCCATCAGCAGTAACTGTATCATATGCTCCCGTTAGCAGAGAATGTATGTTTTACTGCATTGCCCACCATTGGCCACAGTTTCCCATAATTTCACATTCATACACTTTGGTACTTCATGTCTGTAATTCGGTGGTTAAGCAGTTGGTCATCTGTAAATATCCTCTATGGCAAATTGCAAATAACCAGATGTGAAGTGGCCAGACTTGTCCACTCTCCCACCGTTCTTTGATCTCTGCAGACTTCTGTCACCTTAGAACACTCCTTAGTAGGTACATGACAATGGAACTAATTGCGTTTATTGCTGTCAGAAAGCAGTTTTTTGGGGGCTCTTTCAGGCCAGGTATTTCCATTTTTAAGGGTAAGAGTATAGTTTGGAAAGGCCACAAGGATTCTGATAGTGCCAATATTTACTATGCACTTGGCGAAATCTGTACTGTTTCCTAGTTATGATTCTACTAGTAGGTTACTCTTTCATTCTCATCCCCGTATTCTGAGTGAAGAAGCCTAAGGTCACAGCATGTACATGCCAGAGCCGAGCCTGGAGCCCACCCACCCTCCCAGTCGCAGGTGGCTTGTCCTCTCCCTGTGACCTCTGCAGTCATAACCAGGCGCCTGTGCTGGCCTCAGGGAGCTCCCTCCCTCTCCCCTCCCCCATGGGCAGGGCCCAGACACCAGAGAAGGGAAGCGGATCTGCTAAATACGCTAACACAGCTCTCCCTTGCTTTCCAGGTTTTGGAGGTGCCCTGGGTTACCTCCTGGGTGCCATCGACTGGGCCCACCTGAAACTGGGCAGAGTGCTGGGCTCAGAGTTCCAGGTCATGTTCTTCTTCTCCGCCTTGGTCCTCACGCTGTGCTTCACCATTCACCTGTGCAGCATTCCCGAGGCCCCCCTGAGAGACACTACAAAGGACGACCTCCCTCAGCCGGCCCCCCGGGACCCTCCACCGCCATCCGACAAAACGTATGAGTACGGCTCTATTGAGAAGGTTGGGAATGGTGATGCGCACTCAGCGCTGAAGGTGCAGGGAGAGAAAACCAAAAGCCCTGCTGACCAGGTAACCATGCAAATTCCTTTTTCTTTACCCAAGGAAACATATTATCATTCCTACCCGTCTCATTGCTTTTATTTTTATTTTTGATTATGCTTTGTCTTTGTTTTATCTGAAGTGAAGGGTTTTGTGAAGTGTAATTGGATCCCCAAGCCCTCCGTAGCTATTATCCCTCAGAACTGAAAGTTGGAACTGCAAAGCAGAGTGTGCGCGTTTTTCTCTCCGCAGAACACCTAACCAGGGAAGACAAAGCCAGGTGCATAGTGCCAGGCCGTGCAGATGAGGCCACAGAAGCATCTTCAGTTCGTACATTAGGGCTGTCAATATGTTTCTGCAATTACAGTGTCCAGGGTTGGTAACTGTTAAATTTGTATTTCATGAGCTGATTAGGTATTCCTGTTAGTCCACTCCCAGTGAACAGCTCAATGAATTAATTAGCTTAATATTTTCAAAGAAAACTATAAAATTCCAGAAAAATGGAACCAGGTTAAGACAGAAAAAATGGTCAAGGGCAGTGGTCGGCAAACTGTGGCTCATGAGCCACATGTGGCTCTTTGGCCCCTTGAGTGTGGCTCTTCCACAAAAATACCAGGGCCTGGGTGAATTTATTTGGAAGAAGTGGAATTAGAAGAAGTTTAAGTTTAAAAAATGTGGCTTTCCAAAGGAGTTTCATTTGTTGTACTGTTGATATTTGGCTCTGTTGACTGATGAAGAGACCAGACCTATGCTGACCAACTAGAGTAACTGGTGGTCCATGAGGCTATTCACATTAAAATTCATTACAATGAGATGATAAAGTGAAAGCTTCCATTCGTTAGTTGCATTAGCCACATTTCGAACGCTCAGTAGGCCCATGGGGCTAGCAGCTGCTGTAGAGAATACTGCTGATATAGAACATGTCCATCACTTCCCCAGCTCTGTATCCTCCCGCAAGCTGAGTTCGAACACCAACACTGTGCCGCGCCAGCACAGCCAAGGGTGACCCTGAGTAGGGGCGGCCAAAAGGCTTAGAAAAAACAGACAAGAGAAGGAAAGCTGGGTCTCGGTGGGACGCTGCTTCCTGAGAGAAGCGACAATGCCCACAAGCCGTGTCTTTATTTTACAGCAGATGCCACGAGGCAAAGTAAGGGCGTGATCAAGATGTTTACAACATTCTCCTGGGTTTCAATCCTGCTCACCTACATGCACCTGACCTCTATCAAGCCCACATCACTCAGGCACGTGGTGCCATGTGTTCAGACCACAGGTTCAAGCTTACAACTAAGTTGTTGGCTATCATGGTGCTGGAAGGCCCTGCCCTCCACGCTGGATTTGCACGTGGCCATGAGAGGACTGTGCCCTCTCATCAGTCTGAGGCTCGAACCTGTCCAAACACTGTAGCTGCTCCCCACACAACGCCTCAGGGACGGAGCACAAAGGGCTCCCTTATGGCAAAGAGGCTGTGGAAGACCTCACTATAACCCTGGCTCCCGCAGCGGCTGATGGGTGCCCTCCATTCAGAAAGGAATGCCAGCTCTTGCTGTGGGTGCCTCATGATGGGGAGCATGGGTGTTCAAAGCCTGCCTCTTCCACCTCTGGAAGGTCTGACCGTGGGCACTTACATGTAGGTGAAGTGAGAGAGGACTTTCACCTACCTACAGGGGTAAGGTGACCAGACGTCCCGCTTTTGGCGGGACAGTCCCGAATTTTAACCATTTGTCCTGCCTCCTGTGGCATTTTTAAAAAGTCCCAATTTTTGGAAAGATTCTTTTAAATCTTTTAGACTTTTTTAAAATGCTGCGGGACAAATTGACACAGGACAAATTGTTAAAAATCAGGACTGTCCCACCAAAAGCGGGACGTCTGGTCACCTTATACAAGGGTTTTGTGCAGGTAACATGAGCTTACCCACCAAGTTACTGGGAATGGTTCCTGCCATAGTGAGGTGTTAGGTATTGCTGCTGTATAACATAATAAGCCTCGTAGGATGCTGAGTGCCCTCAGCACAAGTAGGGAACAGACTAGATCTGCTCTCGCACAAAATTTCCAAGCACGCTCCGTGAGTCTCCTCTCCTCCAGAAGCTCACCTTCTCTTGCTGGGGCTGGAGCTCTGGGACAATCAGGTTAGGGTTTCAGTTTGGGCTCCGGAGTGAGTCAGGGTATGGGAGACCCTGGTTAAGTTGTCCAATAGGTAAGTTCGCTTCTCTCTCTGATAAAGGCCCAGCTGGATGCATTGGGCTGCCCCACTGATTCCACCAGGGACCTGAACTCTTCTGTTTGGTTTTTATTTTTTTTTGTTGTTGTTTGTTTTTTATTTTTTTAAAATATTTTATTGATTTTTTTTACAGAGAGAAAGAGAGAGGGACAGAGAGCTAGAAACATTGATGAGAGAATCATCAATCAGTTGCCTCTTGCACGCCCCCCAATGGGAATGTGCCCGCAACCAAAGTACATGCCCTTGACCGGGATCGAACCTGGGACCCTTCAGTCCACAGGCCGACGCTCTATCCACTGAGCCACACCGGTTTCGACATGGACCCTTCTGTTTTGCTGCTTGCATTTTGAACATGGAGCTTTCATCTCGAGGTCCAAGATGGCTTCCGTTATCATTATTACGTCCACATTGCTGCCAGCAGGGAGGGAGAAAGGGACACAACTCAAAAGGCGCAGTCATCACTTCTGCTTACGTGCTGTTGACCAGAACCTAGTCAGTGGCCACACCGAGCTGCAAGTAGCATGGAGACTGTAGCCATGATGTGGGAGCCATACGCTTAACTGAAACTTCCATTACTCCCAAGAAACGGAACAGGTATTGCCACCTGTTAGTCTCTGAGCTCACTGGCTCCTACTCCCAGCAGCTGCCTGACCGTGGGAACTTGACCAGCTCATCAGTTCCATCTGTGAAGTGAAGGGAATGGCTCCCCCTTGCAGAGAATTTCTAAGGGTTAAATAAAGTCAAGAACGCCTAGCTCAGCGCTTTACACAGAGGGGAGTGTTATATACCGGTTTCCCTTTTTTTTTTTTTTAAAGCATCTCAAACTCAGAATGAAAACCAGGCAAGTTTGGGATGTTGGAGCAGACAGAATTTGGGGACCATGTTTTAATAACTAAAAAGAATGAAAAGGTGAATTGATATGTTCAAATGCATGCAGTTTTATTGTCCTTATGCCTTCCCTTGTCTTGCCCTCTGAGAATCCCTGCTCATTTCTGGTGGCTCTACAGCACATTCCACAACCCCTTGAGTCCAGAGCTTCCGCATTGGTCCCCTGTATGTGATGTGGAGTCTTCACGTGAAGTTATTCACGTCTGTCTAGTTTGCTGACTCGCCTGTATTTTCCTTACAGTGTGGTGAGGGAACTCCCTGAGGGCAGGGTTGCCTCGGCATATTCCCCATTCATTTTCTTTTAAATTTATCTTTTTAAATATATATATATATATATATATATATATATATATATATATATATATATATAATTGATTTTTTTTTTACAGAGAGGAAGGGAGAGAGATAGTTAGAAACATTGATGAGAGAGAATCATCAATCAGCTGCCTCTTGCACACCCCCCACTGGAGATATGCCCACAACCAAGGTATATGCCCTTGACCAGAATCGAACCCAGGACCCTTCAGTCCGCAAGCCGACGCTCTATCCACCGAGCCAAACCAGTTTAGGCCATTTTCTCATTCTTGACATTTACCTCAGTGCCTGGCACATAGAAAGCTGGCAGCAAATGTTCTGGTGGTTGTTAGTTGAATGGATGTAGCAGAAATGGCCTTCTGACATATGGATCTTGCTGGAATTTGTTGGGGTGAATAATGAGAATGATCAGAATCGGCCCAATTGTGTATACAGATCACTCTTCAGTCGCTGTTAACAAACATCTCTGTCCCTGCCTCAGAGTTGTCACCTATCAAAGTGCAACCACATGTTATCTTGCCTTAATAAATGCACAATTTTGGATAATTTTCAATTTCTAGAAAAGCAGCAGAGAGTAGAGAGAGCTCCTGTCTACTCTCCACCAGCTTCTCCCTAATGTGAGCATCTTATGTAACCACTTGTCAGAACTAAGACATTACCACTGTTACAATGCTGTTAAGTAAAGAGAAGACATTTGTTTCATCGGTTTTTCCATTAATGTCATTTTCTGTTCCGGGACCCAACCCAGGACGCCACACTGCATTTAGCTAAGTGATTTATAATGCTTGGAACTGTGTTTTCTTTCAGTGGTATTTCAAGGGAATATAGTCGTAGAAAACCTCATTTTTATCTATTCAATTACATATTTGGATAAGAGCGGTGAGTCTTAGCAGCTACTTATAAAAGCCCATAAAAGGTTTTCTCAAAATTAAGTGCTTTGTTCTATTTTTTAGTTTAGTATTTTCCAAAAATGAATACAACAGTAAATTTCAACATTGCTTGGGTTTGAACTGGCAAACTTTTTACTTGCGTAAGGTCTTACAAAAGAGGCCTTGCGTCTGAGCACAACTGCATTGGCATTTGGTGTATCAACCTGCCTTCTACCGTGCCTCCTGATGGGGAACACAATGGAAGGGACTAATCTGGCCATCCCATTCCACCAATAGCTCCTATTCTAGCATGAGTGTAGTGTTTTCCATCATAGGAAGAACGCAGGAGGAACTGAAAGGTTCTTGGGATGAGGCCTTCATTTTATCTTGACCACACAGCAAACAGAGAAAACATGAGAGTCTCGGTCTCTTGAGACCTGGCCAGCCTACCTTTGCCCACCCCAGGCTGCCCCAGGGAGCACGGACACCCCCTGCCCATTCATTGCTAACAGATCAGAACTCAGGGATTCCCAGTTAGACTGGAGCCCTCTCGTGTAGTTCTGTAAGGCAACCTGAGAATCATGGGATATCTATGCAATGGAACCCATATAATCATCAAAATATGTGTATGTGTGTTTGAGCAATTGTTTAAATACTAGAGGCCCCATGCATGAAAATGTGTGTACTGGGGAAGGGGATCCCTCAGCCCAGCCTGCCCCCTCTCACAGTCTGCAAGCCCTCAGGAGATGTCCTACTGAGGGCTTAGGCCAGCTTCCCTCGGGAGTGGGCCTTAGCTACATTCTGGCCTCCCTCTGCAGGAGGTAACCAGGCCAATCAGGGAAAGATGCCGCCCCCATCACCCCACTGCTGCTGCTGTTGCTGGCCACCACCACAGCTGCCTGCCCTCAGCCCTCACTGCCATCATGGCTTTGTCTGGAAGGGCGTTCAGCTGTCTGGTCTAATTAGCATATTACACTTTTATTATTATTATACATAATATATTTTCAACACACACACACACACATACACACACTCCATTCTGAGAAAAGCTATCCAATACAGAGAGAGAGAAAAAATAAATAAATAAAGGATATATACTGTATACCCCAAATGTTAATTGAAGTTATTTTCTAAACTCTTCTATAGATTCAACATTCCTATGACAGACAAATATTACTTTGAAAATGAAGAAAAAAATGTCATAGTTTAAGGAACAAAACAAGACAGGGTTTTGCTAAAGATGAGTAGTTATTATCCCCACTTTTCGCCCTGTTGATTGACTCTGATTCAGAGTGAGGATCAAATGAAACAAGTGCGCAGGAGCCTTTTGAACGGCCTACAGCCCTCCACACTAGTAGGAAAGCACAGACATCAAACATAATTAACTTTCTAGTATGTTCCACAGACACAATACTGTAGGCTTTGATTGGGTTTGTTATTTGCTTTAAAAAAAAAAAAAAAAAAAGGCAAAATAAAAAACCAGATTCCAAAACAGAGCAACGTACCTTAAGCCCAAAGCCAAGCATCTGACTCTTCATTGAAATGTGCATCTTGGGAGTCTCCAGTTGAGCAATGGGGGACTCTGCCATGTTGGGGCCATGACCATGGCTGTCACTCTGTGTCAAAGCCATTTCTTCCCAAAATGAGGGTGGCTGTGCAATTTGTGAACTGGGGGGAAAAATTTTTAATGGTGAAAGGCCTGAATTATTTCTGAGTTCAAACCATAACATTCACTGGCAATGCCTCCTTCACTGTCTCGGCGATCTCCTTTGGAATTAATTCTTGTAAGGTCCCCTTCCCCCCTCCCCCATGGCTCTGTGCCTTCCCACTTAGGAATCCATCCCACCCCATCTCCAGTGGACGTGGGCACACAATACGTGCAGGACACGAACTCCCAGGGGCTCAGACCACTGAAAGGGCTTTGCTGAGGGAGCTAATGAGTCAGAGAACAAGATGCCAACTGAATTTTTGTTCTGATACTAAAGGAGCATTGAATATGTATATTCCAATCTTTTGCAGAAATATTAGACACAGTCTGAAAGCTCATCTTTGTTTTCAGAAGAAAGGAAATATTAGGCTAACAATGAAAGCAGGCTGAAAAGCACGCGTAAGGCCGTGGCATAAATTAATATTTGGAATGAGGTGGAATGCTTGCTGGCCAGATTCACTTTATAAAATTTTGCATTTTGGGAAGACAGGAAGGAAAGGGAAGAGCAATCACTTAGTTGTGTCTCAGTCTATACCTTTAGCTGCTTCTTCCTATGGTCAAGGAAAAGGTAGTAATTCACCCTTAAGTTTCTGTTGTGCTCACCGTTTATTTTGACAGGCACGATATTTCACATTCAGAAAGCAGTTATTTTTCCTAAGTCCAAGGGAAAGTCTATACTTTTAAACACTGAGTAAATATAAGCAAATCAGTTCAGTCATGTCAGTAGACTAAATACTATAAAATTAATGAATTAAAAAAAGCAATTTATACAAATAAACCTACTCTAAGTAAATGCAATTTTCTGCAACAAGGAATTTAAAGCATTATCATTATAAGCTCAGGAGCTGTAAACACAGATACTGTTATAGTTAAAACAGAGAATCTCAGGAGACCATCTTATAAATAAACTAGCCAAGACCCAATTTCATTGTGTCAAGCTTCAAATAAATAAAAACCTGACAAGAAAGACCGGAGCACGGTTGATTCTATAGTCTCAAGGTCTTCGGGCAGCTGACTGCTTCATATTCCTGAGGCTTCTTTCTTCTCTTACATGACAAGTAAAGATGTTAAAGGCTGTCTTATTCTTTGTATTGCAAAACAACTGTGTCAATAGTTTAAATTTTTTTATTCTCTCAAGGCTTCTTCTGACAATAAATAAAAAAATAAAAAATATGGAGCCCTTGGTTTTTACAGCCACCTCATTGGATGGACCGCCTTCCTGTTGAACATGCTGTTTTTCACAGATTTCATGGGCCGGCCAACCCTGCTAGCGGTTCTCAATCTGTGAACCCCTGCTGTAGAGCCTAAGACCATCAGAAAACACAGATAGTTACATTATGATTCATTAACAGTAGAAAAATTACAGTTATGAAGTAGTAACGAAAATAATTTTATGGTTGGGAGTCACCACAACATGAGGAATTATAGTAAAGGGTCGAGGCATTAGAAAGGTTGAGAACCACTGCCCTAGAGGCTACTCTCAGAGTTTCTCTGCATGGCTCTCTTTATCTTCAAAACTAGCACTTTTCCTGCTTTGAACTCTGACTTCCCCTTCTGCTCCCAGCCGGGAAAAAAACTCCCTGCTTTTTAAAGGGCTCATGTGATTTAGTTAGGGTCACCCAGATAATCTCCCTTTTGATGTACTCAAAATCAACTGATTAGTAACCTTAATTATATCTGCAAATTCCCTTTGGTATCTAAACAATACTCAATCACAAGACAACACCAGGAGATGGACACCATGGGCCTCTTAGCATTATCTACCACACTTTCTCAGAGTCAGGAAATCTGAGAATTGTGGTAGTCAGTTAGCTTTGTCCTCATGCAGATGCTCTGTCATTCAAAGTAGGATGCTAGGTGTCTCTTGCATGTTATTCCAAAGCAAGCTCCATTTCCAGCCCCTGTCCCCTCAGGTCCTCAAAGCTACATTCTGAGACTGAAACTGCTAAGCATCTACACGTACTTAATATTTCCTAGAGATCACTCTATGGAAATCTTAGTGCCATGCCAAGAAAGTGTAACATTCCGTGTGATGGTGGACTGACAGATATGTAACACGGCTGTGTGCTCTGGCTCCCACAGCTGGCTGCATGTCTGCACTCAAGGTCACACCTGCTTTATGTTTATTTCAGATTCAGAGTACAATGACCATGAAGTCACTGCTGAGGGCACTGGTGAATATGCCTTCCCACTACCGCTGCCTTTGCATCAGCCACCTCATTGGATGGACCGCCTTCCTGTCTAACATGCTGTTTTTCACAGATTTCATGGGCCGGGTAATGAATATGTCTGTATACATACTCATTGACTTGCACATCCATCTTTCAGTTAGTACCTGAGGGCCTTCTGGGCTAGCCTCTAAGACGGGCACAGCAGAGTGTAGGAAAGAGTACTTTTTTAAGGGGCTGGCTTATAGACAGATTCTAGGGGCAAGCTACTACACCCTAGACAGCTGGAGGATACTATGGGACCAGTAATTGATCAAAACAGCAAGTAAGAGAAAATCAGTGTGAGCTGTAGCAGTCATGGCAGGCTTAATGAAGGTGAAGGAGGAGCGGGGCCTTGAAGGGTGAATAGGAGTTGGAGAAAGAGAGGAGAGGGAGAAAATACTCCCAGCAGAAATAGGAATGACATTTGTGGAGGTGAGTCAGAAGTGGTGGGCAGGAGAGCCTAAGTTGGGTGGGGCCAGAAGTTGTTTGGAAAGAGGGATATAAATGATCCAGAGAGATGTTGTTTATACTTGATATGGTAGACTTATGGCTTCCTGTAGGTCCTTGCATAGGGGTGTGAACGGATAAAATGGGGCTGTGCTCACAAGGGGTCATTATGTAGGGGTGTGAACGGATGAAATGGGGGCTGTGCTCACAGGAGGTCATTGTGTAGGGGTGTGAACGGTTGAAACGGCGGCTGTAGTCACGGGAGGATGAGCTCTGTGCCCTAAGAAGCAGGACCCTGTTGCTTCCTGGGGATGGAGGAACAGGGTGTGTGAAGAGGGGTCCCTACCGCCCTGCATTAGCTCAACAGCCCAAATCTCTCTTTCAGATCGTGTACCATGGCAATCCCTACAGTGCACACAACTCCTCCCAGTTTCTCATCTACGAAAGAGGGGTTGAGGTTGGATGCTGGGGCTTGTGCATCAACGCAGTGTTTTCCTCACTCTATTCTTGTAAGTCTCCTCCTCTGGCTCTGGCCCAGCAGAATGGCTCTGGCCCAGCAGAATGTTGGATTTTAGATTTCTATATTTATTTATTTTTGCTTTTTAAAATACCAGATTCTTGATAAATATATGGGAGAGCAGGGAAAACTATTCCTTTAGAAAAAAATTACATGAAACCCTTTTTCAGAGGGGATTCTAGCTGTCATTTTCCTCAGTGGCTACTCTGTCCTTATAATCAGTGTGTCCCTGATCAAGGTCCCCTGGAAAACAAAAGGAAATCTTATAAACAAGATGGCGAAGTGTTGGGTGGACCAGGGATAGAGTACAGGCCTGGGTTCTACTGGAGTGAGACCATGGTGGAGTTTCATAGATACGCTTATCAAGGACAGAATGGTGCCCTGATCATGGTAGCAGGCATTGCCCCCATCGCCAGCCCTCCCCTCTCTGATCTGGGCCCCTATCAGATTTCCAGATGACACAAAATAGGATGGATGGGTAATATGCTAGGTCAGTGGTCAGCAAACTCATTAGTCAACAGAGCCAAATATCAACTGTACAACGATTGAAATTTCTTTGGAGAGCCACATTTTTTAAACTTAAACTTCTTCTAATGCCACTTCTTCAAAATAGACTCACCCAGGCTGTGGTATTTGTGGAAGAGCCACACTCAAGGGGCCAAGGAGCCGCATGTGACTCGTGACCACGGTGCTAGGTGACAAAATGAACATGTAAAATGACCTTAGCTCAGACAGCAGGGTGTATGTTACAGGAGCACTGTTCCATATTGAGGACAATGGCTTCCTCCCAGGTCCCAGCTTTCCATGGGGCTTGGAGCCCATTAAACTCCCCATCCCCTTTTCCTCCCCCTCCCCTCACAGTTTCAGCTGTGAGCGCACCATAAACAAAGGCATTTCTGTGGTGGGTTTTAAAAAGTCCAAACTGCTGTGCTCCAATGCTGGGCATCACACAGGCTCCTTTTGTGCTGGCTAATGGGCATGGAAATCTCCAAGCTGCTATACACTTAATTAAGTGAAAACTCCGATCAATAAAACTATATGCAGGTCCCCATTTGGAGTGGGAATTTGGGTGCTCCTCTGGCTTTGAGGGGAGAGTAGCTGGTCCCCTATGCAGAGCTCTAGGCTTTGGACAGGCCCTGGGGACAGCAGATCAGAGAGGGGAGCGTTGGTGATGGGGATAAGGCCTGTTACCATGCTCAGGACACCAGTATGTCCCTGACTTGTGTTTCTTTGTGGGGGAATGGGTGCAGGTATGTGATGACCCCTATTCTGGAGTCCAGCCTTTGACTAGCCTCGGCACAGCAGGAAACCTGCTTTGAGGTCAAGAACCTCTCTTCAGCCGAAACCGGTTTGGCTCAGTGGTAGAGCGTCGGTCTTCGGGCTAAAAGGTCCCAGGTTCGATTCTGGTCAGGGGCATGTACATTGGTTGTGGGCACATCTCCGGTGGGGGGTGTGCAAGAGGCAGCTGGTCGATGTTCCTCTCTCATATACATTTCTAGCTCTCTATCTCTCTCCCTTCCTCTCTGTAAAAAAATCAATAAAAAACAAAAACAAAAAAAAAAAGGACCTCTCTTCACAATGTAGCACAGCTGGGACAGAGCACCTCACATAAACATACGAGAAATTCCTAAGACCATAGAGTTAATTACCTTTAGATGTGCTATAACCAAATAGTGGTGGCATAAAGCTTACATTTCCCACACACACCTTCTTTCCCCCTTCGGAGTATGTAAACTAAGAGAATCCCAGGAGGAAGGGTTTAAGCAATGAAAATAGAATTAGGGAGTGATGGATACAAGGTCTCATAATCCATCTCAGTCCCTAGGTGCTTTCCAGAGGTGGGGGGCAATCACTACTCCCCTCATCCTTGTAAGAGGAACACATTTTCCACAAGTAACCACCATTTTAATTTTGTGTCAACTTAAACTTTTTTTTTTTAATCAAATAGTTCCTACTAGGTATTATTAGTCTAGTGTGAGTTACTGAATGAATTTCATGGCATTTAAAACTTTTAAAGCATATTATTTGTAAGCCCTTTCTATTTATAACCCCTATACAAAATAAACTATTACTTGAATAGTTTACCGAAGTTATATGGAACATATAAAGTGCTATGTATACATCTATGGTATTCCTATCATTGTAAATTAGAACTGAAATTTTATGTATAAAATACCAAGTAGCCCTCCCTAGGGAGTTTCTGGGGTTCTCATGACCATAGGATAAAGACAAAGTCCTGGGCTTGGCATTCCAGGAGTTAGGCCTGGCTCCCAGTATGGACTCCGTCACCCCCCCACAGATTAACTAGCCTCGTGACTCACCACAAAGACCTTCTCGTCTCTGTGCATGTGCTACTGCGTTTGGTTTCTTTTTCTGAATGAACTGCTCTTCCTAGCTCCCCACCTAGGCAACTCCTAACGGTGCTGTTAAACCCAGCTCACGTGTGACCTTCTCTGCGAAATCGTTCACGTCTTTCCCTTGCACCCCAACCCGCCCTAGGCAGAATCAGTCCTCTCCTTCAGTTTAGAGCGTACACACAATCCTCTATTTGGGGCTCATCATAAACACATCAGATACAAATCCAGAATTTCTATCAGGATGGGCAGCCTGGCTGCTGCGGTGGGGACCGGGGCATGGTGATAAGTGGCTTGTTTTTTTTATCTCGTTGCATAGCAAGCACTCTTAGGTCAATGAGCACAGCAACAGTGAGTATCCAAATACAGCCAGTTGTTCATATCATGCACTGCTATTCATAGCTGCTGCTTAAACCCATCATTTTCCTCCGACCCCACCAGAGGCACCACGACCCCGACCAGGTGTCAGGCCCAGCTGACTCGGGTAACCGCATGGCCCTTTTACTTACTGATTCCTCTTCCTGAACAAAGCGCTTTGTGCCAGACTTCCAGCCTTTTACTGAAGCTGCTCATGTTTCCAAAGATGTCTGTATCCTTCCCTGCCTTCTGCCCCGGATACAGAACACTCCCCTAATGAAGATTAATGGTCTCTGTAAGGCACTGAGGCACCTTCGATGGCATTTTCCGCAGAGATACCATCATGAAGCAAACAGTAACGGACACGGCTCTATGCTGCTGTCATTCTCAGCCTTGACAACAGTCCTCCAGGGAAAGCAATGCCACATTCTTGTCCTTTTCAGAGCCCCGTCCTCCAGGGATGACCCACAACCATGTTCAGCTTCATAACTGATGCAAACGTAATGTAGATTAGGGTTATTGTCGGTGCAATTGTAAGTCCAATAATTATTTAGAAAGGCATCAAAAGCTCACTCTTGAATAGGCTCATTTCAAGTATTTATCATTAACCCTCTGGGTCCACGTGTTCCATTACAGAGAGGCAGGAGAAAGATGAGATTGTATGTATTAAAGACAACTGATTGAAAAAAGGAAAGGAAAGGTTTTTAGAGGTTTTCCATGGTGGGAAACAATGTAAAACACTCTAAAGCAGAATTTTCCTATTTTAAAAATGAACTGTCCCACAGTTCTTTCCCGGGCAAGCCCAGTCTACCTGCTGGGAGGAAACCCAGGAGTCAACGAAATAACAGTAGCCACCATTAACCGAAAGTCTTCTGCCTGCTCAGCGTTGGGCTGGGAGAGTTCACAGGAATTTTGTCCCATGTGATGCTGACAGCAACCCCAAAGAAAATCTGTATTAGGCTAGACCAGTGGTCGACAAACTCATTAGTCCGCAGAGCCAAATATCAACAGCACAACGGTTGGAATTTCTTTTGAGAGTCACATTTTTAAAAAATATATATTTTATTGATTTTTAACAGAGAGAAAGAGAGAGAGATAGAGAGCTAGAAACGTCGATGAAAGAGAAACATCGGCCAGCTGTCTTTTGCACACCCCCCTGCTGGGGATGTGCCCGCAACCAAGGTCCATGCCCTTGACCGGAATCAAACCTGGGACCTTTCAGTCTGCAGACCGACGCTCTATCACTGAGCCAAACTGGCTTTGGCAAGAGAGCCACATTTTTTAAACTTAAACTTCCTCTAACGCCACTTCTTCAAAATAGACTCGCCCAGGCCGTGGTATTTTGTGGAAGAGCCACACTCAAGGGGCCAAAGAGCCGCATGTGGCTCTTGAGCCGCAGTTTGCCGACCACGGGGCTAGAACCCTGTGAATGAGAATGACCCCCCCTTTTCTTCTCCGTCCTGCAGTCCCAGGGCCATGGCCAAGGCCAACATTGTCACCCCTGCTGCCTGCCAAACAGCGCCTGGTCCTTTCTGCGGGAAAGGAAGTCCACCTAGCAAGCAATTTCTAGGGTTCTATTCGGGGTTAAAAACTGATTTCACCAGCCCGCTGTTGTCAAGCACAGATGAGGAGGTTCTTTTGTTCGAGACTCAGTGTAAAAAAAAAAAAAAAAAAAAAAAAAGGCTCCGGAGAAAAGTGCATCTGAGAAAAGCAAAAGCAGGGATTGTGTGAAATGGCCAGCAGAGCGAGGCGCTGCCGCTGTAATCTCTCTCTTCCTCCCGCAGACTTCCAGAAAGCGCTGGTGTCCTACATCGGATTGAAGGGTCTTTACTTCATGGGGTATCTGCTGTTCGGCCTGGGCACGGGCCTCATCGGGCTCTTTCCGAACGTGTACTCAACGCTGGCCCTGTGCGCCTCGTTCGGCGTGATGTCCAGCACCCTGTACACTGTGCCCTTCAACCTCATGGCCGAGTACCACCGTGAGGAGCAGGAGGAGCAGGTGCGTGGCCCTGGCCGGTGACTCCAGGCTCACCTCAGAGGGGGGGGTTGGGTAGGAAGCTGTAAGGCAAAGCTGGAAAATAAGGATTCTTGAAACGGCAGCACTAAAATGCCAGCCAGATGTAATGAAGGTCTGGCCAGGCCATGGCCACCTGCCCAGCCCGCCCCTCCTCCTCCTCACTCTGAAGCCCTGTCCACAGAGACAAGGAAGGGGGGCCCAGGCTTTCTGGCAGCTGCCTCGCGTGGCGGGTGCCCCTGGGCATTTCTGGGTCCCTGGCCGCTGCGGAAGTACATGGGGGCGGGGACCGTCCTAGGCCACCGTTTCTGTGGAAGCCCCGAGGTGGTAAGCAGGCCCAGTGTGCGTGGGGAGAAGCTGGTCCCAGGTGGTCATTCCCACCAGCTGCCCCACGGAGGCCTGCCCACCTCCACCTCGGAGCAGAGGCCAGAGGGCAAGGCCCTAGCCCACCCTAAGGGGACGCTAGGTTGGGGATTTCTGCTCTAAGATGATCCCATCTTCTTACCAACAATGCAACTTGACCCCCGGGAAAGGAGGCGTGCAGTCCCTTAGCTGGAGCGGGAGGTAAAAGCTGGAGGTAGCTCGGAGTTTTATCCAGCCCAGCCTGAAGCCGCACTCCCTGCAGGCGCGCCCATGAGGCTGCCTCTTCCCTTATGTGGCCTGGCGAACGCGCAGCAGGCAGAGAGCACCGGGGTTAAACCTTTCAGACCAGCGTTCCGCTGCCCTCACGCCTGCGAACATGTCCCCGATGGTCAGTGCCTTCAGTGCCGGCGGGGTCGCTATTAATGAGGCAGCTGCCATGAGGGGCTGCACCTCCGAGGAGAGTGGTCCGTGTTCTAGGCCAGAAACACAAGCTCTGCACTCAGAGAAACCCGTCACATCCTGCCCGCCTCTTGGCAGCTGCGTGACACGGGATGTTGTTCACTGGTTTATTAAATGTCACTAAAGGCAGGTCACAGAGGAGACACAGACACATGGTCCAACAATCCCAGGGGGGCACAGAGAGGGCACCCCTCCCTCCCTCCATTCTCCTGCCTCCCTGGGCACCTACATGTAACCACACTTAGGTTTTTGTTTATATTTCCAGTATTTTTACATGAAAATTAAGCAACAGGTATCTGTTTTCTTATCTTCCCTTTATCTTTGAGGGATATTATGCATTTGGGGGGCACAATGATTTTTTTTTGTCTTACTTTAATAGTACAGGAATTATCAAACTCTCAGAGCCTCAGTTTTCTAATCAATCAAATGGGGATAATATACCCACCTTATAGGGTTGTTACATATTAAATGGAACAAGATAGTGTAGATAATCTGCCTGGCATACCGCTTAACTTGCAACTGCAAAGACTCAAAAATAATAGCATTATTATCATTATTAAGATAATATGTACATCTAGGAGGTGGTGGAGCATGAAATGAAGTAACGTGTGAAAAAACCTCTCACAACTCCTAGCACATAACAGACACCCAGTAGATGGCAAATTATCAACCAATTCAGACCAAATATCAAATATTAATCAAGTATTAAGATACTAACCAAATCAGCCATATTCTGAAAGGTTGAGTTCCTTTTTTATGTTGCTTCTCCTATGTATATGTGATTCAACATCCTCCTAAAAATGTTTGCATTTGTAGCACTGATGAAAGAGAGAGTGCGGTAACTTGCTGTTTTCACTACACTGTATTTACTGACTTTCAGGAAGAGAGAATTGTACCTATATTATCCATTTAACTGCCATAGGCGCTAATGGTGGAATGTAGGGAAGATGGTGGAGATCCTTGGCCACCTTAAACCAGGGCTTGGCAAACTATGTCCCTCTCCTTGCCAAAAGTGGTCAGCCACTTGCCTTTGTGTAGCCGGTGAACAAAGAATTCTTAAAAACCTTCTAAGTGATTTTTATAAAAAATCAACAGGAAGACAATATTCGGTGTCAAGTGAAAATGACAGGAAACCCAAGCACCGTGCCCCTGAGGTTGTGCTGGAACGCAGCCGGTTAATGTGCTGCAGCCACTTTCCCTGGGCTCGCAGAGCGGGGAGGAGCTGCCACCAGCTGCAGCATTTACCAGCCGGCCCTTACAGAAAGGCTGCCAGGCTGCCCCACGCGTTCCGGGTCGGTCACACGCTGTCTGTCGGTCACACGCAGTCCGTGTTTCCCTTGCAGAAGCAGAAGGCCCATGCAGGGGTCCTGGATGGCGGCGGCCGCGGGCAGGGCCTGGACTGCGCCACCCTCACCTGCATGGTCCAGCTGGCCCAGATCCTGGTCGGAGGCGGCCTGGGCTTCCTGGTCAACATGGCCGGGAGCGTGGTCGTGGTGGTGATCTCAGCCTCGCTGGTGGCGCTGATGGGCTGCTGCTTTGTGGCCCTCTTCGTGCGATACGTGCAGTAGGTCAATAAAGGGACAGTGTCCCTCACTCAGACGCGGGAGATCCGTCTCTCCTTCAGCCCCGCAGCTCTGGGGTCTGCCCCCTGCAAGCTGGGTGCCTTCCCACCCCTGACCCCCCTACCACACCTGCAAACAGCCACCCGTCACACCCAGGGTGCAGAGACTCAGTCTATGGTCACCCTCTAGGGGGACAGACTGGGGAAGGACCCACCAAGCCTTGTAGATGGTCTCAGGCCATTTCCATGGGGTTCTGAGGTCCAGGTGCTGGAGCATAATCTAGAATGCAGGTGGGGCCCAGGCACCAGGTGGCCGTGTGGACTCATTGCTATGGGGTGGGGGGGTGGGGGGGAGGGTGCTGCTGGAGTGGAGGGGAGAGCAGAGTCCCCTAGCAATCAAACCCCTGAGAGGTCCAAGGGCAGTACCAGCCTCAGAGCACAGCCAGAGAGCGGACCCCTAGTCATTGTGCGTCAGCCTCCCCCTCCCTCCCAGCTTCCCCAGGGGCCTCAAACCAACTGCAGCCCCTAGCTCACCCTCCTCCTCTCCCTGCCGCTGCTCCGGCTTCCAGGTGCTGCTGCAATTGTCGTGATTGCCTGCTTCTCTAATTGCCTCCTTTTCTTCCCAAGAACCACTCTGCCGCTCCTGGCTTGTCACCCCTGTGGGGGGCAGTGCTGGGTGCGGGCGTCTGGGACCGCCCTGTGATCTGGCCACCTCTAGTCCATGTGTGGGGGTGGGGGCTTACACCAAAGTGGGCACCCCTTCCCGCTGCTCCCACTTCCTGCAGGACACACGGCAGGAAGCCAGCACCGGCACTCAAGTGGCCAGCAACGTACTCCATTTTCTCCGGGTCCCCCATAATTTACACACCAAGGGGGCTGTCTTCCCCGCCCCGAGCCTGCTGTTCCCCCTCAGCCTCTGAGCCCGGCCCTCCCCCACAGGTCCCTCTCCCAGCCTGCCACCAGCCGGGCCCTGCGTGCTGTCCCTACACCCACTCCCAAGTACAGTCATTCTTTTGGGGAAGCCACACAGCAAACTTCTCTGTCTTTCCAGCCTGCTTCCTCCCGCTCCCCAGCACACATCCCACTGAGGGGAGCAAGGCCATGGGTGACTGAGAGGAGCCTGGGGGGAGTCCTCCGAGGACCCCACGTGTGCCTGCCCGACCTGGCCCTCTGAGAGGGGTGCAAACGGCATGTTTCCTGGGTTCAGTGTGTGTCTCCTCCCCGTCCCCCCAGGGCTGGGCTGGTGTGTGTGTGAAGGCTTTGAAAGGAATGACTGGCCCGCTGGGAGAGTGTCCACAGCCAAGGGCCATCTTACCCGGACCCAAGAAGTCAGAATCAGTCACCTCTGGCCAACCACAGGGCATGGGCTTTATTACACACAAAGCTCTTTTCAGATGGACACTGGGCGGGCTGCTGGGGTGAGGAAGGGATCCTGAGCATGCTCTCTCTCTCTGTCTCTCTCTCTCTCTCTCTCTCTCTCTCTCTCTCTCTCTCTCTCACACACACACACACACACACACACACACACACTTAAATATTTAAAGTCCCCCCTCACAGCAGCATTTCTATTCAGACCTCTTCAAGTTGCTGCCCATCTGCAGGGCACAGATTGGGGCACACTGTCCCAGGCACCAAGGGACTCTCAGGAGAAGCCAGAGCCCAGGCTTCCTGGGGCCGCATTCACCTCCTGCTGTTACTAAGGGAGCCCGTGAGCCCCCTTTCCTGGAGGCAGTGGCCTGAGGAGGTCTCTATCCAGCCCATAGTCACACGGTCCTCACACTCCAGCCGATGGCTCTGCTCTGAGGATACAGTTGTTTGGCCCCGCGCCATGGAAGGGCAGCGGTCCAGCAGAGCCTGAGTCCAGCAGAGCCTGAGTCCAGCAGAGCCTGATGGGATGATTAAGGTACCACAGTCCCCGGGGTGCCTCTCGCGTGCTTTCCTCCTGGGGCGGCGATTGTCACTCCTTTCTCCCAACGGGAAAGTTTTCTGTCCCCAAACTCCAGGCTGCCCACAAGGCCATGCAGATGAGACCTTCGCCCCGGGGGCAGCCTCCTGGCCAGGCCAGAGGAGAGGGGTTGAGGTGGGCGCCCCGCTGGATGCGCCTAGAGGACCCTTTCCAGGGCTCCCCAAAAAGTCGCTGGGATAAACGCGCTGGATTGTCTGCTCCATCTGGCTGAGCCACATTTCCTGGCGCCCCACGCGCCTTCTCCTCTGCAGGGGGTCCCCCGCCTGCCCAGCTGGCGGCCTGAGGCCAGGAGAGGTGCCTGGGGAAGGGGCGGAGGTCGGTGGCCTTCCCTCCCTTCCCCCCAGAGGCTGACCTGGCCCCACATCCCCGCCAGATTCCTCTCCACTTGGTTTGGAAGCCTCCCGGTCTGAGCCAGCCCTTTCCCCCTGCCCCCAGCAGGCACCCCCTTCCCCTCTCTCCTGCCCTCTCCCCTGCGCCCGGTCAGCCGGCGGAGCTGCTGGGCAGCGGGTCCTGGCGCCCCCCGCTGTAGACCACCGCGCCCGGCGGGTAGAAGCGCGGCTCGGGCTCCGCGGGCGGCCGGCGGGGCGCGGGGCCGGGCGGCGCGGGGTCCCCGGGGTCGGGCCGGGTGGAGGCGGTGCAGGGGCGCGCCAGGCCGGGCAGGGAGGGCTTGGCCAGGCGGCCCAGCAGCGCCCGCAGCGCCCGGCGGCAGTCGCGGCGCGCCAGGCAGTAGAGCAGCGGGTTGAGGCAGCTGTTGGCATGTGCCAGGCACACGCTGGCCGGGAAGGCGTAGGCCTGGCCCAGGAAGAAGGCGCGGCTGAAGGGCGCGGCGCCCAGCTTGACCAGCGCGCCCCAGGCCGTGAGCGCCTGGTTGGGCAGCCAGCACAGGAAGAAGGCGAGCACCAGGACGCTCACGGACCGGGTGACCCGGGACCGCCTGCGGGCGCTGGCGGCGGCGGCCAGGCCCCCCCGGGCCTCGGGGGCCCCTCCGGGGGCGGCGGCCACGCGGCGCTCGGCCAGGGCGCGCAGCAGCAGCAGGTAGCTCAGGCTGGTGACGGCCAGCGGCAGCAGGAAGCCCAGCAGCACCTTCTGTAGGTGGTAGAGGCCCAGCCAGAACTGCCCGCGGCCCGGGAAGCGCAGCAGGCACAGCTCCTGGCCCAGCACGGGCACCGCGGTGGCGAACAGGCCGTTGGGCAGCGAGGCCAGCACGGCCGCCGCCCAGATGAGCGCGCACAGCGCCCGGGCGCCCGGGCCCCCGCAGCTCCGGCCCCCGCAGCCCCGGCCCCCGCAGCCCCGGCGCCCCCGGCCCCCGCGGCGGCCCAGGGCCGAGGCCACGGAGCGGTAGCGCGCCACGCTCATGGCGGTGAGGAAGAAGACGCTGCCGTACATGTTCACCGACGTCGCCAGGGACACGAGCTTGCACATGGCGCCGCCGAAGGGCCAGCGGAAGTCCCGCGCGTGCTCCACGGCCCAGAAGGGCAGGGTCAGCACGAACTGCAGGTCGGTGAGCGCCAGGTGGGTGACGAAGAGGCGGACGGCGGAGGCGCGGCCGGCCCGCCGGGAGCGCAGCAGGCAGAGCACCAGCAGGTTGCCCGCCAGCCCCAGCGCGCACACCGCCCAGTAGGCGGCGCTCAGCAGCAGCCGCACCCGCGCCTCCGCCGCGTCCCCCGGCCCCGGCCCCCCGCCGCCGCCGCCAGCGCCCGGGGGGAGCCCGGCCTCCGCGCCCTCGGGGGGCTCCGGCCCCAGCTCCCCCCGCAGGGCCCCGCGCGGCGGCAGCGAGGAGTTGGCGCTGGCGTTGGCCTCCCGCAGCGGGTCCGGGACCGGCCCGGAGAGTCCCGCCAGCGCTGCCCCGCCGGCGGCTGCGCCCATGGTGGTTCCCGGGGCGGCCGGCCACCTGCGGTGCGGGGTCTCTAGGGCATGTTCCGGGGACCAGACCCGGAGGGCGTCCGGCTCCCGGGGTGCGGGCGCGGGGCGGGCGGGGAGCGTCCGGAGCAGCCGCCCGAGCGCGCGCCTCGGAGCTGGGGCGCCTCGGGGATGGGGCGCCTCGGGGATGGGGCGCCTCGGGGATGGGGCGCCTCGGAGGTGGGGCGCCTCGGGGATGGGGCGCCTCCGTGATGGGGCGCCTCGGAGGTGGGGCGCCTCCGGGATGGGGCGCCTCGGAGGTGGGGCGCCTCGGAGGTGGGGCGCCTCGGGGATGGGGCGCCTCGGTGATGGGGCGCCTCGGAGGTGGGGCGCCTCCGGGATGGGGCGCCTCGGAGCTGGGGCGCCTCGGAGCTGGGGAGCCTCGGAGCTGGGGAGCCTCGGGGATGGGGAGCCTCGGGGATGGGGCGCCTCGGAGCTGGGGCGCCTTGGAGCTGGGGCGCCTCGGGGATGGGGAGCCTCGGGGATGGGGCGCCTCGGAGCTGGGGCGCCTCGGGGATGGGGCGCCTCGGAGCTGGGGCGCCTCGGAGCTGGGGAGCCTCGGGGATGGGGAGCCTCGGGGATGGGGCGCCTAGGAGGTGGGCGCCTAGGAGGTGGGGCGCGCGGATGGGCCGCAGGAGACAGGAGATGCGCTCCGCCTGCCCCGGAGGGCGGAGGAGAGCGGGGGACCACGGCCCCTGCTCCGGAGGGAGGAGGGAGGACGAGAGCCTAGGACCGCAGCTCCTCAGGCGATCGGCGGGCGCCCGACGGTCCTGGGACGGGACGGCTCCGGGTCCCCGCTGTCACTGGGGCCCGCTCCTCCTCCTCCCAGTACCTCGGCGGGTCTCCTCTGCGGCTCGGCGGGGTCTCTATCCTTCGGGAGGAAAGGAGGTCGGAGAGCTCCGTCTCCCCGCTCTGAGGGCTGTGGATGTCGCCTTCGCTGCCCGCGCCTCCGTTCCCTCCGCTCCCTGCGCGGTGCCCACCGCGCGCCCGGCGGCACCGGCGCCCGCACAGCCGGCTGCGCGCTCCCACGGAGCATGCGTGAACCCGGCGGCGGGGGCGCTCTCCGAGGTGCTGAACCCCGCGCCCGCCCCGGGAGGCCGGGGGTGGGCAGCAGGCAGGGCCCACCCGCCGCTCCCCCTTTCTGTTCCTAAGTCTCAGGGGGAATGTCATAGCCTTTACTCTCCTCTGCTTTGCTTTGCGACTCCCCCCCTTTTTTTTATTGCCGAACGTGTTTATTGGAATTTTTTCCTTCCTTGCTCCCACTTTCTCTTTGAAATTTGATGAAGTGTGGTTCTGCACGTGCCCGATCGGATCTCCTGCCCATTTTTTTTTTTTTAAAGAACGGCCATGCCCGAAACCGGTTTGGCTCAGTGGATAGAGCATCAGCCTGGGGACTGAAGGGTCCCGGGTTCGATTCTGGTCAGGGGCATGTAACTTGGTTGCAGGCACATCCCCAATGGGGGGTGTGCAGGAGGCAGCTGATCGATGATTCTCTCTCATCGATGTTTCTAACTCTCTATCTTTCTCTCTTCCTCTCTGTTAAAAATAAATAAAATATATTTTTTTTAAAAGAAAAAAGAACAGCCATGGCTTCTTTTCATGCCCAGACCCCAAACCAGAGGGTGGGCTCTCGCTGAAAACACAACAGAGCCAGCCTCACTTGGCTTCCTTCAATGACCCGACCACTTGAATTGGTGTCTGTGGTTGTGAGGGTTTCCAAAGGGTCTTCCCACAGTAAAAGTCTGGGTTTGAGCGTTACCCTCTGCTTCGGTGTATTCTGAGGAAGGAAGCTGCGGAGAGCATAACATCAATAGGTGAGCCGAATCCACAGCCGTTGGATACTCCCGGGCCAGCGCTCAGCCCAACGCTCCCCTCACACACACCCGCTCTCTCTCTGCCTCAACGTAGCGGAAACAGAGGATCACACCGCGCTGCTCTGGGCCACCAGCTCCCTCTTTCCCCTGCTGTTACAATAAGAACTCTTTGCCAGGTGTTTTCCAGGCCAAAGGAAGCAAATTCTAAGGGATCTTCTGTGTTCCTTCGGGCAAAGGGGACTAGTGCAGATCACTTTAATGACGTCCCAAACTGGGGTTTATTTCAATGACAGCTGACACTTTTTGGGATGGACTTAGGAAAACTTGAAATGTTTTTCTTACTGTCTGGAACTAAATTGAGACATAACTGTCCTCAGTCCTGATAGGTTCTCAACTTTACTGATAGATAAAGAGGCTGTGACTTTGAAGCAGAGGAGAAAGGGGGGAATGTAGTGGAAAAGGAACTTAGTGCCCAAAGCCTATGAAAAGAAATGGAAACAATTTTGATTCCAAGGCAAAAGAACACTATGGAGAGAATACGCTTCTAGTAGACTCTGAACTGCTTATCTCTCCCACTAGGGGGCGCCAGGGCTTTAGCAAAAGCAAAAACAAAAAACCACCCACTCCCATGAACCATTCTGTGGAAAAGTGCAGCTCTCTGCCCGGATTATTACTTTCAATCAACAGTCTGCTTCTGTGGACACCTCACATCTCCTTTTTGATAGTCTCACCTTCAAGATCACGTTTCACTTCATCTTTTACCAGCCAGTTAGTTCTCTATTAAATCCCTCACCCTCTATACTATTTCCAAGTGCTGTTGCAAAACAAGGAAGCGGAGAGCATACTGTTAAGCCCTTTATCCAATCTCCTGGCATGCATTTTTGTGGCTTCAAATATCCCGAGGACAGGTGCTGAGCAGGTGACATCAAAGTCAGCTGGGGAGCTGCAGGCTCCTCCCAGCTCCAAAGCAGCCCCAGAGAGTCTGACTCTCAGTGGAATTGGAAAGGGGCTCAAGACTGCATTTTAAGCACATTATTCCAGGTGAGACTAATCACCCCCCTCCCCCAAGTTTGGGAACATCAGAACTTTCATTCCTTTTCTAACTCTTCATGTAAAAAATTTAAGTGCCAGAGCAGCATTAGTGTCCAATGATGGTTTATCGCATAGTGGGACGGGAAGCAAAAGAAGAGAAAGGGGGTTTGCTAAATTTCACTAAAATCAGTTTAAGCCCAGTAGGTGACATCTTCTTGCCTGTTGGGCTAAGAGGGCCATGTGTTCCTGAGGTCTGCCAGGCCATGCGTGCTAGCCAGAAGCACCAGACTGAGTCTCAGGAGACGCCCTTCCCAAGTGTGACCCTCCAAGAGTGCTGCTGGGATGCAGATAGTCTACCATAATGATGACCTGGCGTCCTATTATATGCAAAGCCAAGAATTAGGTGTTTGGAAATATAACAACAACAACACAATATGAATAACAATAGAAGCAATGATAACCATTCACATCACACATCTACTTGGACACTGGGTTACTTTCCCAGTGTTGCTGTAACAAATGATCACAAATGGGATGATTTAAAACAACAGAAACTTATTGCTTCAACATCCCAGAGGCTAGCAGTCAGAAATCAAGGTGTTGGTGGGGTTGCTTTCTCCTGGAGGCTCTGAGGAAGACAGCGGCCCAGGCCCTCCTTAACTACTGATGGTTCTAAGGCAAATCCTTGGTGTGTATCCAAGTCACTCCTGTCTCTGCCTCTGTCTTCAGATAACAGTTTCGTGTGTGTGTGTGTGTGTGTGTGTGTGTGTGTGTGTGTGTGTGTTTTATCTCTTTATAAGCACACCAATTTTTGAACTGGGGTTTGTTTCATTCAGTGTGACTTCATCTTAATTATGTCTGAAAGATCCTCATTCCAAACAAGGTTACGTCCACAGGCACTGGGCGAGCATGTGATCATGCCTTTTGGAGGACACAATGCTACCTACTACAGGCGACAGCAAACGCTTTATCTGCATCATCTCACCCGGTGCTCACACCAGTGAGGCTGGTACTAGTGATATTCCAAATCTGATCCCCTGCCCTTAATCCTCGGAGCACCCAAATTGTATCCTAACCGCTACTTGGCAGTTCTACCTGGCTGCTGACTTTTCACCAGATTTCTCAATCTTAGTAAATGGCATGACTGTTCACTTAGATGTTCAAGCTAAACTCAAGAGCAATTCTTTACTCCTCATGTTCAATATAACTCAGTCTAGTAGGTCCTGTTATCATCCCCTCAAGAACAAAAGCAAATCTCCCCAAACTGAAAAGCTCCTAAATTCATTACTTCTCATTATTTCTCTATTTTTCTCTGTATAAGTTACCTCTCAATAAATAACAATTTATGTAAAACGTTATGATTTAAAACAAGTACTTATTATCTCAGTTTCTGTCGGCGGGGATGTGGGTGCAGCACCTGTCAATGGCTCAGGGACTTTCATGAGGTTGCAGTCAAGCTATCAGGTGGGGCTGCGATTTTACCTGAGTGAAGGCTTTAGTGGGAGGGTGAGAAAGCTTCCTTAAAGCTCACACACATGATAGGGGTTAGCCTTGATCTTTCCCCACGTGGAAGTCTCCTCAGGGCTAATTCACAATATAGCAGCTACTTTCCACCAAGGTGAGTGATGAGCGAGAGAGAATACAGCATGAAAGGTATAGTCTTTTTATAACCGAACTAGAGGCATAGGGTGTGGGGGGGTCCCTCAGCCCAGCCTACACCCTCTCCAATTGGGATCCCTCTCATAATCCAGGACTGCTGGCTTCCCACCCCTCGCCTGTTTGCCTGCCTGATTTCCCCTAACTGCTTCTGCCTTCCAGCCTGATCACCCCCTAACCACTATTCTGCTAGCCAGATCTATGCTTAACTGCTCCCCTGAAGGTCTGGTCACCACCAACTGCCCTCCCCTGCTGGCCCAATTATCCCTAACTGCCCTTCCCTGCCAGCCTGCTCACCTCTAACTGCCCTCCCCTGCAGGGCTGGTCCCCCCAAACTACCCTCCCCTACAGGGCTGGGTCCTTCCCAACTGCCTTCTTCTACAAATCTGGGTTCCCCCAAACTGCCCTCCCCTGTAGGCCTAGTTCCTCCTTACTGTCCTCCCCTACTGACCTGATCACCATATC